TGGTTATGAAGGGGACCTTTCCTGCCGACAGACTTCTTATCTTGTGGTGCTCCTGGGAAGACTGTTTCGAGCTGGAGGTGTGACAGACGTTTTTACTCCAGGGTGTAATACAACATGTGTAATTATTGTTTTAACTGGAACTGGTCCGGTCTTCTTGGTAGTGCTATAATCTAAACGACCAGTTAGTAAACTATTGGAATGGGTCGAAAATATTCCAGCTTGCCCTGGAATGGTGAGACTCACTTGCACTAGAATCAAAGCGCTATAAATGTCTCCCTCTCGTAGGTGTTCATAGCATGGAACAGGCCCGTGTTTTAGTTTGGCCAATAACTGTCCAACCTAGCTTAGTTTCAGTGGCTAAAAAATTTCAGTTATTGATCCTAACCTTCCCGTCAGGTTTCCCGTATCATGACATCTGCTGCAACAATAAACTCTACTTCTTGTTTGTCTCTCCCACCATCGCTCCATGTTATATGCTTTGCTCTTAATTCATCTAGGCATTCATAATTTGATCTAGGGATATCACTTTAAATTTTTATTTAGTCCAAATTTACTCCACCAGAAAATTTACCTGTTAAATTTTCAAGCTTGACATCGTGCTCCACTTTTGTTCCATCCCCAAAAGGTTATATGAAAGTATTTCTTTCTATAATTACTCTTTCGGAGAACTAATAGTTGCTGAAATATTTTGTTTTACTTGAATGCTCAACCAAAGCATCAAATTTACTTTTTATTTCTATCCACATGTCCTGATAACATATGGATGTATCAAATTCATTCTCGAGTTCTTTTTCCTCAATATTTTCATCAACTAGTACTAAAGTTCTTATGTTTTTTCAAACTATAATAGATGATTAGCTCTTGACTTTTAGTGTTTTGAATTACTTTTTGAACTCAGGATCATTTTCAGATATTTTCTTTTTTACTGAAGTAGCTAAAGTTTTAAACAAATTTCTCCAATGAGCTCTTTCTATTTGGCAGTTTTCAACTCTGCAGCACTCATTATCCTTAATTTCCAACACAAGGGATGCCACTATATGATGTCAGGAAATCACTTCAGGAAACAAATGATGCTATATTGATAAACTCTTTACCACAAATACACAAAACACTTTTATTCTACTCTACTTATCATCACACTATCAGGAACTACTACCGTCTCAGGGTAACCTCACCCAAACCAACCTGCCTTTTTTACAACAGCTGAGCAGCATGGGTCCCAGAGTGCCCGGTTCTGAACGTTGTGGGTTCGATTCCCACCTGGGTCGGTGAATTTTTATTTCTCGGCGACCATGGGAAATGAGTCTTGACATGCTCTTATTCTGTTATTCTCCCAAACCCATTTGGACATACGCCTCACAGATTTACGATTCAGCAAAAACGACTCACTTTAATTTTAAGACTAATAACTGCAGCTCCCGGGTATGTTAACAACGAGACTTTATATACCGACCTAAGACAACCAACCATTGACCAGTACATACGTACTCTCTACTCCTGATTTCATCTTAAACTACACGAACATCACAATGGACTTATCAATGACATGGCCACGGCTGAAATGTTCATCTGAGGCGACTGAAAAGAAGCTGCATGAGAGATCTCCTTTCCTGATTTTAGGATGTCAACAGACCAGGGAAAAGGTGCTGCTGGGTTCCATTCTTTGCTATGCCTATCATGGCATTTTCTAACAACATACCAGCTAATAGTTGGTTTAAAATCGCATTAATAAACATACATTGTCCGACCGAAGACAGTGACGATGAAGTCAAAAGTGAATTTTACGATAAACTCGAATGGGTTTATGATAAACTACCGCGAAACTACATGAAAATAATTGTAGGTGACGCGAACGCAAAGGTAGGAAGGGAAGAAGTTTATATTCCGACGATTGGTAATGATATAAAAAAGAGAAAAGGAAACCGTTTCGATTTTGAGAATTTTAATTTGGAAAAATTAAAAAATCCATCAATTAGAAACCAATTCAAGCTAGATGTTAAGAATAGGTTTGAAGCTTTAGAGCTTCCTGACGAGGACCACGAGGATATTGACAAGTTATGGATAGAGATCAGGGATAATATTAAAGCGGTCGGTAACTCGTGTCTAGGAAAAAAGGAAAATAAGAATAACAAACCGTGGTTTGATGAAGATTGCTTAAACATGTGTGAAAAAAGAAAAACCGCTAAATTAAAAGCTCTAAATAATCCTAGCGAAGACAATCTGGAATACTTCCGAATCTCAAAGAACGAAACGACAAAATTGCTCAAAAATAAAAAAAGGGAGTATCTTAAAAATAAAATAATTGAAATAGAAACTAATAGAATCGAAAATAACGTAAGAGACATGTACAAAGGTATAAACAGATCACGTAAATATGTAGGGCCCGTAACGTCTGGAATTAGAGATGATAATAACGATATTCTGACCGATCCGGTTGACATATTGAATAAGTTTAAGGACCACTTTGACAATATTTTAAATACGGGAAATTATGATCTGTGTCCTCCTTCTGAGTACCAGAGTGCTGAACCGTTAATAGAAGGACCAAGTAAAGAGGAAGTTGAAGTAGCTATCGGAAAATTAAAATCATATAAAGCAGCGGGAATCGATAATATTCCTACTGAACTAATTAAGGCATGCGGAGAAGCTGGAGTTTCTAAAATACATCGGTTGGTTAAAAAAATCTGGGTGAACGAGAAATTACCTGAAGAATGGAAAGAATCTATTCTTATTCCGATTCACAAAAAGGGTCCGAGGATGGATTGTAATAACTATCGAGGAATTTCACTCCTTCCGGTATGTTATAAAATATTCACTTTAATCTTAACCAGTCGAATCACGGAATACGCCGAGGAAATTATCGGAGACTACCAATGCGGATTTAGACGGAATCGTTCGACTATTGATCAAATATTTTCTTTACGGCAAATATTAGAGAAAAAATTGGAGTATAACGGTATTGTTCACCAGCTGTATATAGATTTTAAAAAGGCTTACGATTCTATTGACCGCCAGAAACTGTATAATATTCTAATCGAGCAGGGGATTCCAAAAAAACTAGTAAATCTAGTCAGGATGTGCTTGACGGAGACACTCAATAAAGTTATAATTGGTAATAATTTGTCCGAAAAATTTGAGGTTCGTTCGGGCTTAAAACAGGGGGATTCTCTTTCGCCTGTCCTGTTCAATTTGGCATTAGAACATGCCATTAGGGAGGTAATGCGAACCGAGAAAGGGTTGGATCTGGGCGGGACAACATCCGTGCTGGGCTATGCTGATGATCTGGTACTGTTAAGCGAAAACGTTGAAACTATAAAACTAAATACGACAACGTTAATGAAAGCCGGTAAAGAACTAGGACTCGAAATAAACGTGGATAAAACAAAATATATGGTTAGCTGCAAAAATGGCGATACTACTGGTGATATCGATATAGATGGTAATATGTTTGAACAGGTAGATAAATTTAGGTATCTAGGTTCTACGATAACTAGAAAAAACGAAATTGAAGAAGAGATTAAGGTTATACTGAAGGCGGGGAATGCTTGTTATTTTTCTGTGACAAAACTACTTAGTTCGCGCCTCTTGTCCCGAAACTTAAAAATTAGAATCTATAAAACAATTATCTTGCCTACAGTTCTTTATGGATGCGAAACTTGGCCGCTTACATTAAGGGATGAGCAGCGTCTTAAGGTTTTTGAAAATAAAGTATTGCGTAGAATATTCGGACCGAAGAAGGATGAGTTAACCGGAGAGTTCAGACGGTTACACAACGCCGAATTGCGTGAGCTGTATCCGGGTAATATAATTGAGGTAATTTCATCGCGGCGAATCAAATGGGCTTGTAAAGTTGTTGGGCTTAGTAACGAGAGAATTCCTAAAAGGTTAATATTTGCTGTGCCGAATGGTAAGCGTCCGAGGGGTAGACCGAAGCGAAGGTGGGAAGATTGCATTAAAGCCGATCTGTAGGGACTGGGTTTGGAAGGCGAACGGTGGAGGGAGGTGTGTAACAAGCGATTGGTGGTGTCGGCATCGAACCTTCGGGTTCGCTAAGCCTTATTATTATTATTATTATTATTCTTTAATAAACAGAACTTAACTTAGTTTAGCTGCTCAAAAGTCCCCTTTAAATTGTTTAAACAATGACAAACTCTATTTTAGTTTGATGAAAATTATGTCTACTTTACAGTGAAGCAATTGTTAATTACTTAAATTAGATATTTCTTTAGATATCCTATTCTAAGCTTCATATTCAATAAAAAAACATGACATTAAAAGAACCACCAAACTTGGATTTAGTACTTTTCTGTTGAAAATTGGCCAATTGTTTATTTGAACATTTCGTAGCTCATGAAGTCTGCTATCAGAACTCTAACAAATTTTCCTCTACTCACTGGACACCCTGTATGTGTTTTAGCATGATAAGACAAGATGATACAACTACAAAACAGAAGAAAATACAACTTAAAAAAAAAAATACATTGTATTACACTCACATCGTGGTCATTTCTCTGATGTACCTTTCTTTATCATTATTTATATACTTGTAATTTATTGTGTCTATTTCAAAATATTACTGTTATCGCTATAATATGCAACGATTCGACGGAAGGACAAGTAGTCCATGTTGCGCCCCATAAAAATCCTAATTTATTTAAAATACTGCATTAGCACGCTGTCTATTTTTTTTTATTAATAAAAATTATTCTTCTGCCGGTAAATTTATTCTAATGACTTATTGTTTATTGTGCGACCACAAAGTCAAAACTGCTCGGTAGCACAATCATGTCTAGATGATATGTGACGAACTTCCTCTATATGGAACAACAGTATCTTAACTGTAATTTTAACTGTAAATGATGAGATAAATTATTTTTAAAAGATAAAAACCCGACATAAACCACACAATCAGCTAGATCATAAACATTTCTATGAAGCGACCAGATTAGATAAGGCCATTGTAGTATCATAGTTAGATTTTGTGCGTAACGTCTAGTACTACTTGACTTAAGCGTTTTGGAACTATTCAAGAAACAGGAATAAATTGTAAATACATTTAAAATTATTGTTTTTTTTTTCTATTAATTAAGTACAGCATAAAGCATACACTTAAACAAGATTTGTAGCTCGTATAGTCGTTCTAATTTATGTATGACAGTGTTGAGCATTATTAAATGTATGCTTGATCGATTTATTGGATATTTTTTTGTTGATGATTAATTTTTCTCTCAAGAAATTGATTTATTTAATTAATGGTTAATGGTTTTTAATTATTAGTTATTTTTTATTTTGTTAAAAATTGTTGAAAAATTCATTTTTTTTACTGATATGTTTAATCAATGTGATTTTATCAGTAGTCTAGAGGGTTCTCAAAGGAGAAAGTACTAAATAATATCTTCGGCCAACTCCGAGTAATTTTCAAAACATTAAAACAGCATTGTTCATATGTAATACAAGAGCAAAACGAATACGTGTTTTATATTTCAGTACAAAAATAAACAGCCAGAATTAACCCTGTACGTTTTCTTTATTCAAATCTCAAGTTCTTTAATATAGGCTGCAAATGGACTTGATTTACAAGTCTAAGCCAAAAAAAAAAAAAAAAAAAAACAGGACTGTTATGGAATTATCTAAATCATGTTTTTTTTTTTTCGAAAAGAATGTCGGTTACCTTTCTCAACCTTCGCTGGCTTTTTGTACCAGTGAAGTGATTGAGGGAAATGCGCTAAGATTACCTAAAACCTCGCTTTTCCTTCCAAAGGTGGAGAATGGCTAGAATGGTTTTGAGTTCTCCTGACTGGTTATTATAAATAGTGTATACAAGTATGCCTATACCAAAGATGTTTATTTTACTTTTTAATGTACATTTTATTTTATATATTTCTATGAATTATATCGTTATTACTTTATTACTTTCGTAGGTTATCGTTACTACTTTTATGAACTCAATTTACAAAAGGAGGAAATATAAAAAAAATTCTAATAAGTTTCACTTCTAGGTGGTCGCAGATGATCACGCCTAAATTGTCTCTGAACATGTTTACTACTATCCTAGTGACAATATGAGACTGAAATGAAAGGTGGCTTCCGGAAGAAAAATTAGATATTTATTAATTAAAAAAAAAATGTAAAAATAACTCTAAAAGGACAAATTTTTTAAACACTTTTACTGTGATCAAGTATTAGTGTTAGTGCAAAGAAGTACATATAGAAGTAACAATAAGTACTCTGCACTATTATTTCCTTGAATTTTGTCTTTTCCTTTCAGATATAATTTAATGTAAATCGAATTTATTCTCCCAATAACACCAACTTTGGAATTAAATTTCATCACGGGAAACATTTTTAAAATAATCATTCCTCGTACATTCGATGTCACCAGCTATCTGGCTATTTGGCTTAAAGAATATATACAAATTTTTGAGAAAATAAAATAAGAAGTTAGTATTTTGTCCCCAATTTTAGCGTTTCGTTCCACTGTGGGTGGCCAAGCGGCCTAACGTGTGTTTGCACAGCACCGCGCGTTGCCCGGCTACCTGATAACCGAACTTATAAACGAAAAAATAATTTCGGGTTCGCGTCCCGGTGCCAAGGGAGTCTGTTAACTTGGAATTAATCCCCCGTTCTCACCCCGCGGTTCTGGAAAACCACGTATAGCCTACAAGGCGAGGAAGGGGAGAAGAAGAAAAAAAAAACGATTGAAATGTAGACACTAATAAAAACCTTAAAAAGGACTGCGTAATGATTATTTATCTCTCATGTTTTGGAATTATGGTGTGACTGTGCTCTCTGAAATATATTATAAATCACCTTAAATGAGAGAGATTATAATATTTCACAATAAAAAAAAAATATATCGGTTATGATATAGTGAAGCAATCCAATATAATTGGATGTTTGTGCCTGTCAAATGTTCTATCAATTGTGAGATATGAATGGATTTTGTTGACTTGCAGGTATGAGCAGCTTCATGTGCCCTTCTGTGTTCTTTAATATGAGTGTTATTTTGTTTTTTGAAAACATGTCTAAGGAATATATTATAGGAGGATAGGGCACTAGTGGATTGATGAAAAACTGAAACCTTATATATATATTTCACTCTTCAATGGAAGTTCTATAAAGACAGATATTTGGTAAGGAATTACAGCTTACTTACTTGTTATACATAGCCAGTCTAAATTGCATTCAACTATTTAGAACTAGAACCATTATGATTAACTAATATTATTTAGCTAATTATGCTTTATGAAAATGACTTATACCTTTTGACAAACAACGCACCATATACTGTCACGAAGCATACAATGTAGAAATATTGCTGAGCATTGCTTAGTGTGTAAATGAATCCCTAAATTATATTCTTACGATAAACAATATTAAAAATTTTGATCTTTTATGATGACCAAAACAAGAAAATATTTTATATAAATCATCAAATATAATTAATAATGTAACACTGAAAGAATCTGAGCTGTTGCATCGATGTGACATAATGATAAGTTAGTTATTTAATTCATTATTATTCATTTATTAATTATAATATAGTTAACCAAGTTTGTTCTTTTCAGGTCATAATATATGAAATAACATGATTCGCTGGCTTAGCTGCCTGATAATTGTAGGTGTGGCTGAATCATCAAGGATTCTTGCATTCTTTCCTATGCCTATACCTTCGCACCATTTTATCTTTCGACCTGTGATAGAGGGATTGTCCAAGAATGGTCATGATATTCTCTACGTGTCTGCCTTTCCTTACGAGGAAATTCCGAAGAACGTTACGCAGATTGACTTAGCAAAGTACGACTTAATGGCTGAATTCGGTATGTCTATAATTTAGATGGAAACCATAAGGCTTAATTTGGATAGAAATGAAATATATATGAATAAAAACATGAAGAATTCGAAATCGAAAAAGTCAAAACCGAACTTTCAACAGAACTACAACTATTAAAGTCGAAATTTAAATTTTTTCATTCTTTTGTCATTTTACATATCTATAGCTGCTCATTGTTAATATTATCAGAGATACCTATGGTTTCTATTTGCCCTCTGCATATCATCATTGAGAAAATTCACTCAGTCAGTATTTTTAGAAGTCGTGAATAGAAAAATAAAGAAAAAAAAAATCATGTGTATTAAGAAGATAGTGTATAGAATGAACAAAATTTATCTTAAAGAATAAATAACAGACAAACAATGATCTATTTGTTTTTCTACAAACGAACAACGAATATTTTTGTTTTATATTTTATCTTAAATTATAATTATGTTACCTTTTATCTTTTTCTTAACTTCTTCAGTTTTTGAAATGTTAATTAGGAGTTTTCGAACGATTTTTCGATTTCATTTCGCGAACAGAAGATTGTTTTTTTACCTTTCACACAATTTCCACAGTGGTGGCAGGCAAAAACGAGAAACTTAAATTTTGCGGCTTTTCCTCTTTTATTTTTCGAGTGGATGATGCATTTTTACTTTCACATATCTGTAACATATAGTAGGGGTAAGTATTGCGATCGTGAACATTTTCGAGTCTGAGTTTTCATATTCATATCCGTATAATATAGAAGGTTGTAGAAGGTAACAGAGAGAAACGAAAAAAATATAAATAATAATATCTAAAACCTAACATTATTTAACGTGAATCATTTGGTTTTCAAGGAAATTAAATGAAATATTCTTACTAAATGTAAAGTTTAAAATTTTTATTTAAGTTTGAAAAAGTATTTAAAACCCACGAATTCAAGGCAATGACATGAAATGAATCTCTGTAAATACTAGTCAGAAGGTATACGTATAATATATCGTTGGACAACAACATCTAATATAGAAATTCGTAGAAGGTAACAGATGGTGGTGAAAAAATCATAAATAATAATTTTTGAAAACTAATAATATTTAATGTAAATCACATTATATAAAGTGCAACTTGCGGTTAGCCGATTTTGACGAAAAAGTTACTGTAACATTCCTAGCATATAGAAACCTCAAATATATGCAATATCACTTCAATACGACTTTTCGTTTTTGAGCTAAATTGTTAACACACATACGGACACAGACCATTTTGCGTCACATGGTTGTTAGGACACAGGAGCTCTCAAAACGTGTATTGATACTTCTTTGGTAATTGTACGTTCTATAATAGAAACAATACGAAATTTTAGTATTTTAAAAATCTGTATTTTATGGTGTGAATGTGTTCTCTGAACTATATTATAAATGTATTTTATTGAGACAGATTGTAATATTTATCTATAAACAAGTAAGCCATACAATTAAAAAAAAAAGTGAATTTATTTGCCTTATGTACATTACAGGTGATTATGATTACATGAAAGTCAGCGAGATGAGTATAATGGAATATACAAATGAGATGTACTTTTTTGGAAAAATGATGGCCCAATATTATCTTGGAACTAAAGAAGTTCAGGACTTAATTCACTCAGATCAGAAGTTCGATGCTGTTATGTTTGAATCTTACTTCTATCAAGAATATTTATCAGCATTTATACATAAATTCGATGCTATCGGTATAGAAGTGATAACTCTAGGTAAGCGTTAGCTATTAACACACAGTCAAAAAAATATATTTTTAATAACTTTTGTAGATATATTCTTGTTACAGTTTGACGTGTTATACTAGTATTTAGAGCTCCTTAATTCTCTTTAAAAAAGAAAAACTATATATGTATAAGCTCATAAGTGCTATTTATATGTGTGTATGTATATATATATACACGTCCACTCACACTACTTTCCTACCTATTTCAGAAAAGTTTTAATATCTTTAAATATATCCATTAAGAAACAAAACAAAAAAAAAAAAGATGAATTCGATTTATTTTTCTAAAAATTGCCCAAAAAAAAAATTTGAGTACGATTTCTTTGATAAACTAAGCAATGTAAACTGGCGTGTGGAAAATCAGTGTAAAAAAAATCAATACCCTCTAATATTGCTAATCAAAAATTTTTGTCATACAATAATTTCTGTTAAAAATAGAGATAGGAAATAGTGAAACTTGTGTGATGCGAGCACTAGATTTTTTACATTCAATTACTTTTCATTTTTCTCTCTCCCCTTTCTGCCAATAATCCTAATGATGTTTGACATGTGTAAAACAATTTGTACGTAGGTGTACATATTGGTATATTTTATACATTAAATATATTTTTAATAGGAGATTGTGCTTGGGTGAACGAAATGTCGGGCCTACAAGACAACCCTGCCTACCAAGTTGATTTTAAGTCAGGCCACTCCAGCAATATGAACTTTTGGCAAAAATTGTACAACATCTATGTAACAGCTTTAACTGTCCTAAGCAGTTACTTCTACTTACATTACCATCAGCAGCCAATCATGGATCAGTACTTCAACTACACCGGGTGGGAGAGTCGTCCATCCATCGACGTTCTTGCCAGAAACAGGAGCTTAATCCTGACTAATTTCGACCACGTGTTCGCAGATCCTTATCCAATGGCCCCACATCGCAAAGACATCGGTGGGATAAATATCAAAACGCCGCAACCATTACCAGAGGTATGTGTCCTGTTTTTAATATTCGTTATTGTAAAGAAATAAATTCGTATTCATTATGAAAAGTAAGGAATTGTTAGTTCGTTGAACAATATTCTCCATATCATTCATTTAAAAAAGGTAATGAACAATATTTATCAGTAAAATAATTGAATAATAATAATTAGCATTTATGTAATTTATGAACATAATTTTCCTCTTGTTACAGTTTAATATGTTAGTGAATAATTAATTATTTTATATGAGAACGAAAACTCATAAAAAGAGTTTTTTTTATGAAATTCTAATACTTCAAAATTTTCGCCATTAGTCTTTCCAATGAGAGGTGTGCAAAAGATTTCCGAAAGATGACTATTACCAATTAACGTATAGGATTTAATTTGCTATAATACGGTTCATGGCTTGTTTGTAGATTTTTTTATTTATTATTTTTTTTTATCAGTAGGACTTACAAAAATTCATGGATGAGAGTAAACAAGGAGTGATTTACATGTCACTGGGGTCTCACATAAACCCTGCGAACTTTAAAAATCAAATGAGGTTCTTCCTAGATGTTTTCCGAGATTTGCCACAAAGAATAATTTTGAAATACGATTCAGAGGAAGGCAGTCAAATACCACCTAACGTAAAAGTATCCAAGTGGTTACCTCAGCAGAATATACTAGGTAAGATTATTTCATCTATTTTTAATTATAATCAAAATATTATAATCAGTTGTTTGAATTTAATAATAATATATATATATATATATATTTCGGTTGGTATTACGGACTATGGACCTTTTGCCGTCTTAAAAAAACCTACTCTGTCTCGGCCTGTCTGGGGATATCTTTTTTTTCATTTATCTGCAAGCAGCTCTGTTGTATCTTTGTTGTTTCTATCTATCCATCTGCTTTTTGGCCTTCCACGTGGTATTTTGCCTTCTATTGAGCCATTCATTGTTCGTTGTTAGAGGCTTCCAGATGGATTGCTGCCCAGCCAATCTTTCGGGAAAGGGTTAACTTCCCCTAGCCTAGGTACAATTCCCCTCGAGGGATAGGAGCTATGGCGTAAGACGCAGGGGTCGTTCACCTCCCTATATATGTATATATATATATATATATATATATATATATATATATATATATATATATATATATATATATATGTATATATATAGACGGCTACACACTGTTCTACACTGAGAGAAATGACAAAAATGGGACAGCTGGCATTGGATTTATAGTTAATCCTGCCGCAAGGAAGTCAGTAATAAACTTTACCCTAGTTAATAAAAGGATAAGTGTGCTGCACGTAAGAGAGTTTAACATCACGATTATTAAGGTGTATGCACCAACCGAAGAAAAAGAATATGAGGACGATTTCTACGATCAGTTAGGAAACGTTGTGAACCAGGCTCCAAAATATAACATAAAATTAGTCATGGGAGAATTTAATGCCAAGATAGGTCGAAAAAAGCAATTTAAACCCATCATCAGAGGCCATAGTTTCCACGAAACTAGCAATGCCAGTGGAGTAAGATGTATTAGCCTGGCATCAGATAAAGGAGCCGAAAGGAGGAGTCCGCTACATCAGATATTCATCCTAAAACAAGTACTTGAAAACGATGGGAAGTAGATCAGGACGTGTACGCCGTATTTGTTGACTTCAAAGCACTCTATGACACCGTGGACAGAAAATGCCTCTGGAAGATCATGATTGAGCTAGGTGTTCCCAGGAAGTTAGTGAGACTGACGAAGACCAATGATCCTAAATGAAAGGTACCAATGCAAGGAGAAGTATCTGAAGCCTTTGATGTTCGAACAGATTTGAGGCAAAAAGATGTACTCTCGCCGATGCTGTTCAACTTAGCCCTAGAGAAAGTAGTAAGAGCAACATCACGCGAAGATGGAGAGCTACACGTCAGAATGAAACACAAAATCCTCGCATATGAGGATGATATAGCTATCCTCGGAAACATCCACCCCAATAACAAGGTCTGCGTGGACTCTTAAGTCATTCCCAAAAGTAGACAGATTCAAATATCTCGACTCCACACTAACCTTAATAAATGATCAACTAACAGAGATAGACCATCAAATAACATGTGCAAACAGATTTTTCTTTTTACATCTTTCAAGAGTACTGAAATCCAGAAAAATCTCCATAAATCTAAAAATAATGGTATACAACGCCGTGATTAAGCCCGTTCTGCTGTAAGGTTGTGAAACCTGGGATCTAACCGGCACGCTGGAAGCCAGAATTGAGATATTCGAATGAAAAGCCTTGACAAATAGAGGAGAAATAACAATAAGGAAGTGCTGAAAGAAACGGGTCAGTCAATATCACATGACATGAAGGCAAGGAGGCGAAGATTGGCGGGGCATCTAGCTTGTAGCAATCCATCAGGACGTCTTTACACAACAATGAATGCCAGAATTGTAGGCATGAGACCACATGGGAGGCCAAGAACCAATCATATTGATATATAGGATAACAAAGATATGGCTGAGCTTCAAGCCGCAAACTGGTAAGCAGTGGCCCAAGATAGGCATAGGTGGAGAAGGCTGGTTCAGGCGGCCAAAGATCTACTAGATAAGTAAAATAAAAATAAATACGCTTGCAAAATAAAGCCGCTTGAAATGGGTAATCAAAGTTAAGCAACGTCGAGCGTGGTTAGTACTTGGATGGGTGACCGTCCACCAGGGAAAGCCATGCTGCCCGGGTATGTGAGACCCGTCAGCCTACTGGAGGCAAATCACACCGACCGGGCGTAGGACTGATGACCCTACCCCGTGTACTTAAATCAGTAATCGGGATTTTGGTTTACCAGGATGTTAATAGCCCTCGTGAGGTTCGGTCCAGGGACGGTCTGTTTCGGGGAAAGAAATATAGGTCCTCGTGAGCTTGCTGACTCCAAGCAGCCATAATCCACGGATCTAGACCGATATGTCACTATCCTTGAACGCGAGAAAGTCGGTGAGAAGGACATTGCCAGATTGGCCCCAAAGGGGGTCGGCTATGGAGCTACGGTTGCCCTGCCGCTGCACCATGGAAACCATGGTTCGTAGCAACGTGAGGTTGGGTGACCCCCTCCAGGCTATCTGAGCTCCCGCAAGTATCACACATCTGTAAAGAGACCACATCACGCGGCCCAAAGATATTCATGGTCTGCAGTGCCAACCGGGAAAAAAAAAAAAAAAAAAAAAAAAAAAAAAAATAAATATATATATATATATATATATATATATATATATATATATATAGAGAGAGAGAGAGAGAGAGAGAGAGAGAGAGAGAGAGAGACAGAAGGAGTTCAATAAGTATTATCTTCTATGGATTATTTAGTCGTAATTACAACTTCAAATATGATCCACAGCTAATAACAGTTTAGTCTATACAAACTGGACAACTGAATTTATCATCAGTGACAAATGTCTACCTGTACTGTAGGATACAATACTTCAAATTAATGTATCGTTCTTAGTTTCTCTACCTCTTATATGAAAATATATTCTAACGACCCCTTTGAGAACAAATTTATGTATACTATATACATATATTTATACACATATACATATACACAATAAATCAAATTAATTAATATGGACTCAACTTATGAAAACCAGGAAGTTTTTTATAGTAGGGTATTACTAGTGTTAGTTAATGATAAAAACAATAGTTAGAGAGTGGTAAAAACATAATCCCAAATAAGCCATGTATTTATAAAAACAGCGTAGTTTAACTGGTTAACGGTCCACTTGGATTCACCAATGACATATTGTACGCGTCCTAAAAAAATAATTTCTTCTAGTTTACCATGAATCAATGTCAATTAGCAAACATGAATATTTTTTTAGATAGCTATTGCTTTATACTTAACAAATAACTTGACATAAATCTGACATATGTATACTTTATATTATAGCTCATAAGAAATGTATTCTTTTTATAACACACGGAGGATTGTTGAGCTTATCTGAAGCTATATACTATGGTGTCCCTCTTATTGGGATCCCAATTTTGGCAGACCAGGTCAAGAACATGGCAATGATGGAGTCAAAAGGAATTGGAAGGATGCTGAAACTGAAAAATATCACTCGTGACTCAGCCTCATGGGTTATTCGTGAACTACTCTCAAACAATCGGTGAGTCTTTGTTCTGATCACACTACTATTATTATCTTTTTATGGTCTGCATGGTTTCAATAATACTTTCCATATGGTATATTGACTCGTAATTATTTTATCATTTATTCTTTGGTTCATCCTGTTCCCAGACAACGTACAGAGCAGACAATAGTTATAAACAAATAGTTATTATAGTTAATTTTAATAATCATTCAAAAAATGTATTCATATATCTTCTTTTTGATGATATTCATATGGGTTTCCTCAGTTATAGGGATGAAGTTCTCCGAAGATCAAAAATGCTAAAGGAAAGGAGATATTCTCCTGTTGAAGAAGCAGTTTACTGGGTCGAACACACTCTCAAATATCCATTCGCACTGACTCCTAAATCAGTAAATCTCTCTGCTATTCAATTACATCTGATAGACATAAAGAGCATTGTAACATTAGGACTACTCTCAGTACTTTGTATTTTTTACTTTGTTTTTAACGTAGTTAAAAAAGTTTTACTTAAAGCAATAAGGAAGCCTAAGCCAAAAGTTCACTAATAAAAAATATTTATTAACTATATATCTGCATATTTCTTTTGATTTATATTTTGTGTCTCATGATGTTCATGCTTTCTCTTGTAGTAAGTACATTGTACGATAATATATTTTTCAATAATATAAGTTCGTATTAAGATAATTAGAGAGAGATTTTTGTGACAGTTTTATTTAGACAGTCTCATAATAAATAAAAGGCGTAATTTTAATTGAACAATAATGGATAAATAAATTTTGACAGCTCCAGTTCAATAAATATTGATTATACATAGGGAAGCCCAAACACATACAAGTTTGTTTCCAGTATAAACGGTTTGTCGTTCTTAAATTTTATCAAAAGTTCAAATGACCATAATCCTGAAAATTTTAGTTAGACTGGGTAAAATTTGGCATTGAGTAAAAACCTAAAAATTTTGTTGTTTAATTAATTTTTACTTTCGCTTACCTATATAAATAATATATAGTAAAGGAAAGTATTGCGATTGTGAAAATTTTCGAATCTGAGTTTTCAACGGAAATACACGTTTTGAGGTCCCCTGAGTCCAAATAACCAAGTCCCGCAAAATGATCTGTGAAAATGAAAAAGTGCCAATTTATATCAACGGTGAAACGCATTTTTACAATTTTCTCAAAAATGTCTTCAACGATTTTGATTCAACTCGTGTATAATTGAAAAATTATGTGGTATTTAATATCATTTAGGTCTTATTCCCATTGATGTCACTTTTCTGGGCTTAAATGCCTAATGCTCATACATAATATCAAAGTACCTTTAATATTGTTTTTAATAAAAAAAAGCTCTCTTTTCTTGACCGTAACTATATAAATTTTCTAAATATTAAGTTTGAAAGAATATATTAATTTGAAAATGGAGAAAAAAAAAGCTTATCCACAGTGTTGCCTGAAATTGGTCTTGGTCTTGCACATTGCAAGACTAAGACCAGAACTGGTAAAATAAATCGATTTTTCGAATGAAAATTAAGGCCAAATAGTTACGAATGCTTGACAATCTCAATTACTATATGTAAATAATTTTTATAACCATCATACTTTTGCATTTAACTCCTGTAATTTTTCATTCGGGCTTAGTTAGGTTTCTCCCATCTAAAAATATCTCTATAGTAATAAGCTAATAAGTAACTGCAAGACTGATGTGGAAGACTAAGACGGAGTTTGCAAGACCAAGACTAGTCTCGGTCTCGCATTTGGGCAACACTACTTATCCAGGTTGAAAATGATTCTCCAGAGATAACCGTCTGAAATTATAGATATAATATATCGTTGCAAAGCGGAGAATTTTAGTAAAAATAATATCAAATGAATAGTTGTATATGGCAACGGAGAGTGACGAAAAAAATATAAATAATAATTTCAGAAAATTAACTTTATTTAAGTAAAGTAAATCACATGTTTCCAAGGAAATTAAATGAACTTTTCTTACTGAATGTAATATTTTTCTAAGTTTAAAAAAAAAGTAATTCAAATCCATCGAATCAAGAAGAAGTGAAATATAAAAATATTTTATGAATACGTTTATAACCTTAAATACATTATTTACTGTAGCTTAATAACTCTACATTTATAGAGATGATATTATATTTAAATAATTAGGTATCTATTGGCCGTTTATTCCAAAACATCAAGTAACCTTTTGGAAAATTAAATTTGTGAAAAAAACAACGACTTCCTGTCCTACAGTTTCCTTTAACAATACTCCACTTATCCCTGTTGGGCAAATCCGATACCTAGGATTCCACCTGGACAAACGACTAACTTGGAATCCTCATACTAGACTGAAACGACAAGAAACCGCTCGACGTTTCCGATTACTTCAGCACTTACTAGACAAACGCTCTAAATTTCCCATTAATTACAAAAGACCCATATACTTGACTATAATAAGACCTATTTGGACTTACGGAGTTGAGCTATGGGGCTCCACTAAACCATCGAATTCCTCTCGCATCCAATCCTTACAATCCAAAATCCTTCGTAAAATCCTCAATGCTCCTTACTTTGTCACTAATAAAATTATCCATAAAGATCTTAATGTTCCTTATGTTTCAGATCTGGCCCAATCCAGATACCTATCCTTCCATAATAAACTTCAGAATCATCCAAACCCTCTCGTTTCTAACCTTGCTTCCTCTTCAATTCCTGATAACCCTCCGAGGCGTCTGAAATGAAGATGGCCCCGTGATCTCCTAATGTAGTCACATCATTAGAGTGCTACCATTGGGTAGTTACTCAGCAACTGTATTCATGTCATTATATCAATTATGTCCAAATTTACTTGATGTATTTATGTAATACAGTTGTAAATGTCATAAAGAAATTTAAAAAAAAATCGTGAATAATTTGATGAATTGTACCCTTGTGCAATACCAACATTATTTACTTTCAATTGTGACAACTTTTGATCTATCCATGGCAAGCAATGAAAATCTCGTAATTTAATTTTATCAAAGTTTACTATAGAAGAAACAGTTTAATGACTACTAGTCCTACCATGCATAATTATTCGTAGGTTAAATATTCAGGTATACTTTGTAATCTCTCTAGGTATATATGAGACTTTCGATTAGCAAATATCCAATTTCGACATTTTTTATTATTAATTTTAGTGATGTTTCTGGTGGGAAAATTTAAACCTTTATTCACAGTTCTATAATTAAAACTACAATGACCTACTCTGGAATCAACTGGCCCACTGTCTGTATAGATTTAACTCCCACTAGAAATATCACTAATAAATCGTTATTCAAAAATGATGAAATTTGAGTTAGTAATTCTGTCAACTGATAAATTCAGAGACTGAAGTGTTGTGGTATATAAAACCAGATGGAGTAACTAGATTTTTATTGCCTGCCGTCGACATAATAAATATATTTTTTATCATTGTAATGGTCTTAATGATTTAATATCTGTAAACGTTAAGCTTTAGTTCCGTCTGAAATGCATTTCAAAAACTGTATAAAAGCCCAACATTATCAGAAAATGTTTTATATTCAAAGTAGAGCGGTAAGTGAAAGTTGAGTGTGGCACGCACCAGATTTTTTATTTTATTTATTGTACATAGATTGGGAATGAGCTACTCTACCACTATTACTAGTTTCCTTGAATGTGACAGAATATAACATTTCTCAATAAAGACTTTTCAACTATATCTCTTTATAAACAATAAAAATACTTCATGGATTGGCAGTAAAGTGAGTAATATCAATTAAATAGTTATTAATGGTTTCAAAATATATAACCTGTTACTTTTAACTGCAGTTAGCAGAAAAAACAACGTAGTGTGTAAAGAGAATGACAGTGGTCAATACCTTCGTGAGTTGTCCATTTTACATCAGAGAATTCAACAAAATAGGAATACCAACAAATACATGGACTGATTTGGAAAATGATAAAAAACTCTTGTGAAAAATAATATGTTTTCTCTCTGAAGAAGAAAACTTCAAGAATCTCTAAAACTATCATGCAGCACTTCCCAACTCTTTTTTTTCCTTGTACTTTTTTTATATATGGTGTCTTCAAGGAATATAGTACATAGGACGGAATATGGAAGAATTTTTAAGGAGTTGTCTACAATTAGTAGAATAAAGCAGTATAAAGGAAGCAGAATAAAAAACTTGAAAGTATAAGGCCTTATATATTCCTTGAAGACACCATATATAAGAGCATTGAGTGCCTTTGAAAAGTACTACTGTAGTTGCTAAATATACGCATAATATCGTAGACAAGGATGAGGACCATATGACGGAATATGGGAGCATTTTTAAGCACTTGTCTACAATTATAGATAGAGTGGTAGACAAATGTGCTATGACTTGATAACTAGCTAATCAACTCTAAAAACGGTTGGAAATAGAATAAAAAACTTGAAAGTATAAGGTCTTATATATTGCTTGAAGACACCATGTATATAATAAGATTGAGCGCCCTTGAAATGTACTACAGTAATAGCTAAATATACGTATAATTTTAATTAACGGCCTTGATGACCGACAGATTTTACCTCTTTATTATACAACGGATATAAAAATACTATAACAGAGGTGCAGCAGGATCTAAACCTAGAACAAAATAGAAAATTGGATGTTCTCTTTTGTATAATTGTTATTGATGTTTGGACACAGCAGGAATCAGCAGATCCAATGCAGAGAACAAAATGTAATTTGGCATATGATGGACTCCACCAGATCGTTGCAATTTCAGCTATCTCATACTATCCTTCAGAGTGTTCATATCAAGTTCTAGGTATTTAATCGACTCTAGCGCGTTTTTGTGATTTTTTTTTTAAATTTAACTAACAGAGTGTGCTTTATATTGTGAATCAATTTTTATCTGTCATAAATATTTTTTTAGAGTAATGAAAAGCCATTAAAATAAATGCATCGAAATTAACTTTGCAAGGACTTAAAAAAAAATATTCAAACTACTTCACAAACTATTTACGTTTTTTATTCAGTATTTAACTATCTATGAGTGTCAAGATGAAAATCGTGCCCTTTCGATTTTTTTTTTTTAATTTTATCTTACTTCTATTTTAACGTGATACTACTGATATTTTTTATTCATCAAGAAGGAAATTATCATCATATAAAATAAATATCGAGGTGAAGCTAATATATATTAAAAAGTGGTTTCTGAACGTACTACCTATCCCTAAAATATATTATGAGACCTTTTTTACGCATAAGCACTGTTCTTTTAAGTTTTAAGAACAAATGGGTGAAATAGATTGCTTTGAAAGAATTTGATGATGGGTAATTCCATGCCAAATCATTCAGAGAAACTTCAATTTGTAATTTCAATAAAATTATCCATATCGACCTTAATGTTCCTTGTGTTTCCTGATCTGGGTCAATTCAGATACCTGTCCATAATAAACATGAGAACCATCCGAACCCTCTCGTATCTAACCTTGCTTCCTCTTCGATCCCCGATAACCCTCCGAGGCGTTTGAAAAAAAGATGGTCTCGAGATCTCCTATTGTAAATACATTTTTTGAAGGCAACCAGTTGGTAGTTTCCAAACAAGTGGTTACATGCTATTATATTCTTGCATTCACATTTACTGAATGTATTTTTATTTATAATACAGTTCTAAATATCATAAATTACAAAAAAAAATGTAATTTACCCTCACCTTCCCACACCATGATAAAATAATGATTTAAGATGTATTCACCTTTGAGTTTAACAATATATTCCCAAAAGATATCTCATTCCAGGACATTATTTTTGGGTTTTCAGCTTTTAGAACACGGTCTCATTGTCCATTGTGCAAATTACCTACATACTTCAAAATACCAGGAGACAGACACATGTCTAGGTGATAAATGGTGACCTTGACTCTGTATAATTCGATAAACACTTAAGAGCAATTTTGAAACAGTTACATATCGAAATCATTTTTAAAAGATAATAGCCCACCGTATACATTTCGCAATATACTCGATTTAAAAAAAAAAAAAAAAAATTCAGCTAAGAGGTGATCGCAGTAAGTAGATACAGTGCCCAACGTGGCGTTGCTTGGCTGAAGCGTTGTGGAGCAAAACAAGAAAAAGGTATGAATTTCAAATAATTTTAAAATTACAGCTTTTATTTCTCCTTTCATTAAACGAAACACATTTTACACATCTTTAAGTTTTTATTATTTATAGTAATTTTAATTTATATTGTTTATTTACTGTGTTTATTGATTTTAATTTATTATTTACTGTATTCATTGACTGTATTTTCATTTGAATAATTCTTTCAATAATTGGTCACTCATTAAATGGTTTATCTTATGAGAAAATTGCTTAATTATATTTTTAATTATTTGCTAATCTATATTTTTGTCAAAAAGCATCGAATAACTTTCTTTTCCTCTGATTTATATTATATTATTTTTTCTTAGATAGGAGCAATAACTGATTACTTTTAATCGTTTGGATGAAATTATTAATTCCCTTTGGAAATAAAAAGCAATTTCCATATTCGGCTTATTCTCAATATTTTAAAATAATCACGGGTTATTAGGCATACGTGAGTCAAATACAAAAATGCGTATGGCTTATATGTGTATATAAACCGCAATTAAGTCAAAATCCTTCGAGTCCTTTTTCGTTGTTCAGCTAGTATTTTTAATATTTTTTCAGTTATTTTAAGACTATTTTTAAACATTCTATCTATTATATGATGGCTCACTTGCATAATTATTCTATCGGAGTCTTCATATTTGAAAATCAGATACTTTACTTGAAAATAAAGTTGGTATTATATCGGTGTATAAAAGTATTTTGTTCCTCCGATTACTAATGTAGTTCCTCCAAATTTCTTTAATAAGACTGTTAGTATTTTTGAATACCTTCTTGTGATGAACTGTTATTGAGAATTTATTATTTATAAATTAACTATTGAATTTATTAATAGGTCAAAAATTTACTTTTGGTTTATTATTTTAAATAATCAACCATTGTGATCGACTAAAAAATTAAAAAACTTAACCCCCTCTCAAAATTTGAGGTTTCACGTTTCAGGATGCTTAGGATTCGAAAAACAAATAAGAAAGTTTTGTCCGTCCGGCGTCCACCGTCCGCGCATTTTCTCCGAAAATACTGGATTGATTTTTTTTTCAAATTTGGATATAAAATCAGAGGTCACCCGAGGATGATCCTCCTTCATTGACATTGTTATCCATCTTTTACTTTCAAAATGGCGGACGAAAAACCTGCGTTGCTATAGACTGTACCGCCTATACGAATTTAGCGATTTCAATGAAACTTCGCTAAGTCATTTTCTCCACGCCCTTTAAATTTATCTATATAACATACTTCAACGAAAAGAAGCTGGAAAAAAAGTTATGAGGGATGTTAAAATTTAATTCCGAATACCTCAAAAAGGATACTCTTTTTTGGTGAATTTTTTCAAAATTTTCGAAATTTCTTAAAAACCAAAAAAAAAAAAAAAGAAATCGTTCAAATTGGACAATTAGGAGGAAAAATATGGTCTCCGGTTTTTGTTGTTTATATGTTCTACTCCAAATGTTATATCCTTTGTTTGATTTTTAAATTTTGAATGTGTTACTGAAATAATGCTATTTTTTTTTAGTATGTTACTAGTGATTAAAAAAAAAAAAGTTTAGTCCAATAATTGGAATCACCTTTTATTTATTTTTCTTTGTACCAGAAGGTAATATTACGTTAGATGTATAATTGCTTGGAAATAATAATCCATTATGGAATAATTTGCAGCATTTTTATTTTATGATTATAATCTCCATCAAAAAGTTCTGGTTCAAAATTTTTTTAATTTTGCGTATATTTGCACTAAATAAAATTAACAGTTAATCGACATTGGTTGTCTTATATTAAATCAGGGGCTCACATTCTTTAAAATCTTATAAACGACTTATCTACCCAAAAACTTTGTAAACATTACAGGGATAGCTTAGTAAGTAAGCACTGACGTCCATAGCTCAAAATCCACGGTTCAAAGCCGGCTGATGACTAGTTATTTTTCATCAGCTGTGGGTCGAACCTGGGCCGGGAGATCCTCCTAGGATAAACCCAGCCTCTATAAACTGGTTACTCCCAATTAAATAGTTAATTAAGGTGGAAAACCTGGCGGTTGAGCGTGGTATTGGCCCGTCACTTCCCTGCACAACCGTTGACCTTGTTACAGTACTTCCTCACATTGTACTGAACCCATAACCCTTTATGGGCTGTTAGTGGTACAGTTTCTTACGAAATATTCAAAACAAACATATTTTACAATCTAAAAGCTACAGGAAGTATAAACCATGAAGTTACTGAAATTAGGATTTAGCTAAATCCGAATATTTAGGTATACAGAAGAGGTGCAAAAAAACAAAAGATAATAAAATTCTACTCATATTAATAAACTAAGGTCAGAAGGCCGATATATAGGTCTTTGAAGTATAGATATCGGTATTTGCTTAAATTAGAGTTAAGGAAGGAAAATATAAAAAATAAATAAATAAGATAAAACAATTCTCAAAACTAAAAATATGGTTGTGAGGCCGATATATTAGTCTTTGGAATATCTGCTCAACTTATGGAGGAGTAGGACCAAAGAAATACATAAACAAATAAACAAAACGATGAAACTCGTATAAGCTCGTACAATAATCTCGATAAATAAGATCATAAGGCCCATATATCGGCCCTTAGGATATCCGTACCTGCTGAAAATCTGGTAAAAGGAAAAATAAGTGAAAGGAAAAAAAATTGGCCAATATATCAATATCTATATCGGTCGAGCTCTACTAAAAATAAAAATAAATATACTATACTAATAAAGTAAGTGGTATACTAATTAAAGTAAATTGAACCGTTTTTTTCATATAAAGCCTCATATATATATATATATATATATATATATATATATATATATATATATATTATTCATTATAGAAAGATCAACTTAGCATTGCTTAACATAAGTATAAGCATCTGAATTATATATAATCTTATGATATTTGTAGTAAATTTAAGTGAAAAAGTTTAATATTTAATGCTTGATCATTTCCAGGTCCTAATATATAAAGTGACATGATTTGCTGTATTTGGTTTCTGGCAATTGTAGCCACCAGTGAATCCGCAAGGATTCTAGCTTTCTTTCCAATGGATACACCATCACACCATTTCATCTTCCGACCTGTGATAGAGGGGTTGGCCAAGAATGGTCATGATATTGTATATGTGTCGGCCTTTCCTTACAAGCAAATACCGAAAAACATTACACAAATCGACTTGTCAAAGTACGACGTAATGGCTGAATTCGGTATGTCTAGAAATTTGGGTGCCTACCAAAGTATTCATATCATTATTTTTAAGTGGTATTGAAGTGAAATGACGTAAATTTAATAAATCACTCAAATAGGAGGTTACTACAAAATTTATTGCATGATTTTTTTTTTATTTTTATAAAGCTTATTTTCATTTCTTATAAAAGATAAAGTATCATTTATGCCCGGAGGGCTTAGCAGAAGTCTCAATGAGGGTAGCTGACCAAATGTTATGAATTAAATAAAATGAAACGTATACCAAATTAGAAAGAAAAAAAAAACGCTTCTAGTAAAGTATTGAATGTAAATTTTGCCATAATTGGACAATCTTGATTGAGTTTTAGCGTCCTCTGAAACTGTCAAATACAAATGTTATAGAAATTTCCAATATTGGTAATTGATTTTCTTAGACAATACTGTCCCTCCCTCCCCCTCTATCAGGAGTTACTGATTTTTTTTTTTTTTTTTTCCAGAATCTATCATGAACTGCATCAATATTACATTTCACTTGATTATCGATAAAGGAGCATTTCGCGTTAAAGTACACTGATTAAAAATGAACGGGGATATTGTAAGCTATGTATGATTAATTTGTATCCTGTATTTGTTTTCTTTCCTTCTCTTTCTGGATTTTAGGCTATACGGGGTTTTCCCGAGCCACGGGTGAAGGTAAGGGATTAATACAAAAATTTATTTACCCTGGGCACCGGGGGGAGGAGGGGAGAGGGGAGGGAAGGGGAGTGGGCAACTCATAATTATTTTGTCATATTAAACTTTTGTTAGCAGGTTGCTGGACAAGCGCGGTGCTGTGCACATCCCGCGGGTCATCCAAGCAATCGTAAGACCACGATCTGAACCGCAGTTGCTAGCGCCGCACAATGGTTAAAACTAAACCAAGTCGACATTTTGTTCTTACAGGCAAAATTTTTATATTTCCTTCATATGAAATTTGTTATTAGAGTTTGTAAAGAGGATTTAAGTACCTAATAAGCCAAAAAAGGAAAACAATTTCCTTAGATATTTTACAAACGAATGAAAATTTCAATTTTTTATGCCGTCTCGTAGAAAATTTAATTATGAGAAGAAAATATTCTATTACTTTTTTTGCTAAAACCACTTCTGAAGAAAGAAATGGTTATTAAGGAAAATAATTAAAAAAAAAAAAAAAAGTGCAAATTTAAGATGTTAAAATCGTAATATCTTTAAAGGCGGGTATTTTTCCACGTGAAACAATAAACAAAGTCCATCTAATGTGGTTAGGTTTTACTTGCATTCTGCTGAGTTATTGACATTCAAAGTTTTGGGTTTATTACTCATTAAATAAATTTTAAATTTTCCTCCTTTTAGGGACAATAAAATATATATTTGATTGATTTATTTAATTTCTATACATTCCTTACTATGCTTATTTATTTACATAACGTTTAGTAGAGTTTCGGCGCGTTAAATTTCAGTATCATTCTAGAGTATCAACAGCAGGCACGTTTTTTTTTAGTCAATGTTCGTTTGAAGGAAATATAAAAATTTTGTTTGGGATAGCAAAATGCCAACTTGGTTAGGTTGCTAAAGGTCATCCTAAAGGGGAATAAAATATCAAGCTTCTAACAAATAATTACGAGTGGTTAGTGTTGGTATGAGCCTTACTAGAATATTCAACACTTAATTTAGGCTCTTTCGGGCACTATGAAAAGAGTTGCTTATTGTAGCAATACTAATATTTCTTTTATCTCTGTGCCATTATGTGCTGAGATCTACTAACAGGTCTCCTATTGGTACTTTCGGTTTTTCTGAATCTGGGTAAAGCTCGGGGGGCCTTAATTTGGAAGATGCCCTCCCCCTACGGCAACATCAACATGATTGCGCCCCTGATCGCTCATTCTCACGATAATATTGTGAATTTCTGGTTCAACATCCCCTTAAACAGAATATCACTGAATTAAAATTGAGAAAAGTCGAAAAAAAACTCTTGTTTTATGGAATGAGTATTCTTCGTGTTGACTATATATTAGTTAATAACTTATTAAAAATAAAGAATACTTATTGTTTACTTTTTATGTCTACCAACAGAATAGAGAATCCCCAATGAGCAAAATAGTAGGCTATTTTAATAAAAACGAATAAAATAAGCATCAATATAAATGTTCCTATTCATTTTAGAGCAGTACATACATACATATATACATATATATATATATATATATATATATATATATATATATATATATATATATATATATATATATATATATATATATATATATATATATATAACTTACGTCGGTTCGAACTCGGAAAGATAAAAAAAAGAAAGAAAGAAGAGGTTTGAAATGAAACGCGTGGTTGCTCAAATAAGACTGACTTTATTCTCTCCGTAATGCTATATATATAGCATTACGGTTTGTTTACAACTATTGTCTAGGATTAACTCTCATATAAACTTACATCTAACCATAACTCCCCCCCGCCAGTTTATGAACACTTCTCATAAACTAACGCAGGGTTAGTGATATAATACATAACAAAACATAATACATAACAAAACAAAACAAAATAATCTTCGTAACAAAACAAAATAATCTTCCTTGGCGTTCCCATACAGCCATAGCACAGAACAAATAAAATTAAACATTTTCCTGCAATAAAAGATTTACAACCGAAACAAACCTTCTACCGTCCTTCCATAGCTTGTAGGAGACAGAAAAGAGGATATACCACTATTTACGACTGACCCGGTTCTATCGGGAGTTTCAACTGTTCTATGTGAACAGTCCTTCGTTTCCTAGGATCGTTCAGACTCTGAATGGTACAAAGATTGTGTTCGCGAAGTACAATCACTTTGAATGGTCCGTCGTAGCGTGCTAGTTCTTTCCCCCTATTAGAACCTACCCTACGATAGACTGTCATCCCTATCTTCAAGTCCCCCATTCTGTCCTTGAGGTTCAGATTGGCCTTCTCCACCCTTTTCCGTTTTTCCCGCTCTATTTTCCCTCTCGTTTTTTCCCATACTTTCTTTATCTCTGCCCTGTTGCAAGTGATCCGTTGAGCTTGTGCTTCATCCGTGAGTGTTTCCATCCAATCCCGTCGCCGTATATTCACTCCAAACAATACCTCGACCGGAGAAAACCCTGTAACGGAGTGGATCGAATGGTTATAGGCCGCAACTGCTCTTTTCATAGCTACATCCCCTTCCAATCCCTGCTCCCCTTGATAAATACGTAGGTGGTCGCTTAACGTGCTGTGCAACCTCTCGATATTTCCTCTGCCCTTTGTATGTCTCGGAGTATTAAAATGCCAATCTATATCCAATCGTTTAACCTCCTCCCGTACGGTACTGTTGTCGAACTCCCTCCCTCCGTCCGACGTTATGCGATCAGGCACTCCGTAGAACTGGGCCCACGTTTGTAGAGCCCCCACAACCGCCTCCGACAACTTATCTCGTACTTGGTGTGTCATTGCTACCTTGCTAAAGAGGTCGATCATTGTAACCCACTTAAACCCCCTCCACGTAAATGTATCAATTTGCACATCTTTCAATGGCATGTCTCCCGTAGGGGTTTCCTCCTGCAATCCTTGAGGTGGCCGTCTATCGTATTTAGTACGCGCGCACACTGCGCATCTCCCAATGATTTCAGCAATTGTCTTCCTCATGCCATCCCAAAAATATCTTCTGCGCAACGCTTGAAACGTTTCCTGTCCCCCCCTATGGTTGGTCTTGCCCTGGTGATGTGCCAGCGTTACTTCCTTTTGCTGCTCCTTGTCCATTAATGTTTCAACTAGGTATCTGCATCTAATGAACGACCTGTCAATGCCTATCTTCTCTGCTCTCCAGAGTTTTTTGATCTTCTCCCAGACGGTCGCATTGCCCACATACAAATGGTGAGTTTTCCCCGACTCTGAAGCGTCGTGCAAAGCCTTACAGATCTCTTCTTCTTTCACCCCTGGTTGGGACCAAATGGTGTTAATCCTCCTCTTGCCGTACTTACTGAAGTCGATCTTCATGAGCCCCGACGTCCTGGTCTTCCAAATGACCTGTCGTCTCTTATCGTTGACGATCTCCTCACATTCCTCCATATCTGTAGGCCTCTCGTCCACCGAGCTCTCTTCTCCTCTCGACTCTTCTGCTCCCACGTCCCCAGGTTCCCCTTCACCTTCCGGTGTCCACGTTCTTAAAAACTGCCGCACGTCCCTTGACGACTCCCCTTCTTCCTCCTCGATGGCATTTATCATGATGGCTCTGGACAACCAGTCCGCCACCACATTTTCCTTACCCGGTTTGTACATGACCTCCATATTGTACTGGCTTAGAAATTGCTTCCACCGGGTGACCCTTGCTGACGATTCCTTCAGATTACCGACCCATTGCAGCGGCCTGTGATCGGTATGGACTTTAAACTTTCTGCCAAAAATATATGGCCTAAAATGCCCTACTGCCCATACTATGCCCAGGAGTTCCCTCTCCAGGGCGCTATACCGCGTTTCCGCGTCTGTAAGCCGCCGACTTGCATATGCTACCGGTTGTTCCCCATTACTTCCTTCTTGAGCAAGTACCGCCCCCAACGCATACTCACTCGCATCCGTGGTAATGACAAATGTCTTCGTAAAATCGGGAAAAGCGAGTACCGGCTTCTCTTGTAACCGCGCCATGCACTTTCTTACGTTATCCTCTATTGCTGGCGTTATTGCAATCTTCCGGCCTTTCTTCAAAAGGTTATTAAGAGGTGCTAAATACTCCGCCATTTCCGGCACGAACCGACGGTAATAGTTTAGTGTTCCTAATAACCTGCGGATACCTTTTACATCCCTGGGCATCGCCATATTTCGTATTGCCTCAACCTTCTGTTTATCGGGCCTGATCCCCTCCTTCGAAATGGAATGTCCCAAAAAGGTTATCTGGTCCTGTCCCAAAATCGACTTTTCCGCTGATAATTTCAACCCAAATTGCCGTAACCTATCGAATACGCGCCCTAAATGATCAACATGCTGCTCTTCATCCTTGCTAAAGACCAACAGATCGTCCATGTACACTTGACAGAATTCTTCGTCTAATCCTCTCAAGAATTCGTCCATAAATCTCTGGAAGGTTATGGGAGCGTTCTTTAAACCAAATGGCATCCGAGTAAACTCGTAATGCCCCCTCTCGAAAGAAAACGCCGTTTTGTGTTGATCCCTGGGGTTCATACGAATTTGGTGGTAGCCTGCCTTTAAATCCAAAGTACTAAAAATGGTTGCCCCACTAAGCCTGTCAATAATATCCTCAAATCGCGGAAGCGGATACTTCTCGTCTAGGGTGTTGTCATTGAGCTTCCTGAAGTCTACCACCACCCTGTACTTCTGCTCTCCCGACGACGTCTTTTTCTTCACCGCCCACAGAGGACTATTGTACGGTGACGTGCTGTCCACGATGATGCCCTGCTTCTTCAGGCTCTCGAGCTCCTCCTTGATATGGCGACGTAAAGCCTGCGGGTAACGCCGCTCCTTCACGTACGTCACCTTTTCCTGTTTTAACGGAATCTCATGTGCTGTCCTCCCCGTTGCGCTCAACACCTCCCCCTCTTTAAAAAAAATATCCGCGTATTCCCTCTTTATCCTTTGGGCCCAATGTTCCGCTTGTTCTATTGCCCCAATGTTCCCTTTTCCTCCCACTCTCCCTTTCTTACACCGGTACCTCTTCCCTCCCATTCGCACCCTCCAACCCGTTCCCCTGTAATCTATTCTCGGTCTCACCTTACTCAATAGGTCACATCCAATTATACCCCCGTATTCCCGCGGCATATTCTCTACTACATGAACCCTCAACTTCCCACTTCCTGGGATCCATCTGTCTAAATCCAACTCTACTTCCCCTTCTATCCTACATGGACCACCCAAAGTAATCAACCTACACGTACATTTTTTTATTCTCGGTATCCTCTCTCCTTTACACAACTCCTCCAACATCTGCCTAGATACTATTGTATTAGAACTTCCCGTATCCACCAGACACTTTCCTTTCCCCACGACACTTATAATTGGCAAACCAACGCACTCACCTGCAATATTATTCACTACCGCGTGGCTGCCTCTCCTCTGCTCCTCTCCTCATTCGTCTGATCTTCCTCTCCTGTCCGCGACTGCTCCCCCTTCTCCACTCTTTCTGCTAACTCTGCCTCCTCGAGCTGCTCTCACCACCGGCTCCTCCTCCTCGGTTTCAGATGTTCCCGACGAATTGTCCGACTCCGATGCCGCTCCTCTCTTCCTCCACAATCTCTGGGCGTTCACCTCCATTGGCTCATCTCGGCCCACTTCCCCCCGTCTACTCATATACGGGCATTGTCTCGCAATATGCCCCTCAGTTCCGCATTCGAAACATCGGGTTCGCGGGCAATTCGCCACTAGGTGACCTATCTTTCCGCACCCGTGGCATCTCCTGTCCTCCTTTGTCCATTTCCTTCTCTCCTTCCCTGGCTTTTTCTCCCTTACCGCCGTTCTTTCTCTTGCGCTAACTTCTCCTCCTCTTTTCTTCCAGCCTTCCTGTCTCGTTCTAAATCTACCGGGTTCCGCTCTCCTGTACGATACTCGGTTCCACCCGTTCTCATTCTCCTCTTCTCCCCTGGCTGCTTCTTCCTCCCGCGCGCTTGCATCAATCATTTCCTGGGCACACTCTACAAAACCCTTGTCTCTAGGTAGTCCATCCTTCTTCCCCGTGTCTCTACCCAGTTGTACTTTAAGGATGGTTGCCAGGAACGCCATTCTCGCTCCCGTTTCCACTGCATCCGCTACTTCCCTCGTCTTCTCCGTTACATTGTTAAATCGTGCCAACAGGTTTGCTGCATATTGTCCGTTGGACTGATACGGCTGTTTCTTCTCTCGGAACATCTGTAAGATGTCTTCTTCTGGGGCCCAACGGCCCCCTCCAAATGCCTTCTTCAGCCTGTCCTTCACGGTGCTCCATGGGGTGTCTTCATCCGCCTGGATCATGTTCAGCACACTCCTTTTAACCCGGCATACCAAGGCTGCCCTCAATGCGTTGGCATCCAGCGGATCTATCAAGTTTTCCCCTTCTTTGGCCGCTATACGCGATATCACCCGGTCGCCTCCCTTTAGAAAGTGGTTCAACTCACCTGTTCCTCCATCAAATCTCTCCAGGTCAGATATAGCTCTCCTCAGGTCTTGCGATGTCGCCGTTCTAACCTTTAGCCATTCCAGCGTCGTCGCATGTGCTGACGCTAACGTCTCCGTAGGTAGCGGAGGAAAGTCCCTCGCTAACGCTTCTGCCAACGTAGGAAACGCTGCCGGTGCCGCTGGTGCCGCAGTCGGTTGCGCTACCTGTGCTGTAGGCGGTACTGGTGGTGGTGGACGTACTGGCGGTTGACCTACTCCGTTCGGCATCCTGTTTTTTTATTTATCTCCACGACGTGAAAATAAAAAAAAATAAAAAAACGAAAAGACAACTATAAAAGTAAACTCTTTAAGATTCCCGGGTTTCGGCACCACTTACGTCGGTTCGAACTCGGAAAGATAAAAAAAAGAAAGAAAGAAGAGGTTTGAAATGAAACGCGTGGTTGCTCAAATAAGACTGACTTTATTCTCTCCGTAATGCTATATATATAGCATTACGGTTTGTTTACAACTATTGTCTAGGATTAACTCTCATATAAACTTACATCTAACCATAACTTATATATATATATATATATATATATATAGCAAAATTGCACTCAATTCATTCATCTTTTATATAAATAGTAAAACGGCACCTAGAAACGAAGGCATCTTGTTCAATTCCCATAAGTAAAATCAGTAAGAAATGATTATATTTGGAAGTAAAAAAAAATATTTTTCTTAGTATTTTAAAGGAGAATTTGATAACCTGAAAACGACTGAGATGCAATATAAACATGATATTAATTTGGTAATCATGTCCAATTCAGTATTTCCGTTCACTTGAATAACAAAACCGAGCCTTCTTGTAGTTATATTTTTCAAATTGTATATGGATATTATTTTTAGTAAATTAATCTTATATATATATATATATATATATATATATAATATGAAATGTTTATATTTCAAAAATAAGAATTTCATTGTCTAACATAACTTACAGGAGACTATGATTACCTAAAAGCCAGCGAGATGAATCTAGTTGATTATACACATGAAATGTACTTTTTTGGAGAAATAATGGCAAAACATTATGTTGGAAGCAAAGAAATACAGGACTTAATTCACTCAGATCAGAAGTTCGATGCCGTTATGTTTGAATCTTATTTCTATCAAGAATATTTGTCAGCGTTTATTCATAAATTTGATGCAATCGCTATAGAAGTGCTAACTTTGGGTAAGAAATTACAAAATATCTTCATATAAAAACCAATTTTGAAATAAATTAATTTGTTGTATTAAAAACTAATGATTAGAAAATCATTTCTAAAATACATTTTTTTTTTTTTTATTGGTGATATTTACAACTGTATTACAAGTAAAAATACATTCAGTAAATGTGAACAAAGGAATAAAATAGCATGACATCACATGTTGAGAAACTACCCATTGGTAGCACTCTAAAAATGTATTTACAAAAGGAGATCTCGAGGCCATCTTCTTTTCAGACGCCTCTGAGGGTTGTCAGGGATCGAAGAGGAAGCAAGGTTAGAAACAAGAGGGTTTGGATGGTTCTGAAGTTTGTTATGGAAGGATAGGTATCTGGATTGGGCCAAGTCAGAAACATAAGGAACATTAAGGTCGTTATGGATGATTTTGTTTGTGACAAAGTAAGGAGCAGTGAGGATTTTACGAAGGATTTTGGATTGTAAGGATTGAATACGAGAGGAATTCGATGGCTTAGTGGAGCCCCAGAGCTCAACTCCGTAAGTCCAAATAGGTCTTATTGTAGTCATGTATATGAGTCTTTTGTAATTGACTGGGAGGTTAGAGCGTTTATCTAGTAAGTGCTGGAGTAGTCGGAAACGTCGAGCTGTTTCTTGTCGTTTCAGTCTGGTATGAGGATTCCAAGTTAGACGTTTGTCTAAGTGGAGTCCAAGGTATCGAATTTGTTCAACAGGAATAAGTGGGGTATTATTAAAGGATACTGTAGGACAAGAGGACATAGGTTTACGACGAAGGGTAAAGGTGATTTGATGGGATTTATTGGAATTTATTTTTATTCTCCAGTTTTGACACCATTCTTCAAGGTTTGTGATGTGTGATTGAAGGGTTTGGGATGCAATTGTTGGGTCGTTATTAACTGATAGGACACATGTATCATCGGCGTACGTGGTAATGACTGTGTTAGGATGGGTTGGGATATCAGCTGTATAAACTGTGTAAAGGATAGGACCTAGGATACTACCTTGAGGAACACCAGCGGACTGGGAAAAAAGGGATGAATAGGCATTATTATGATTTACTTTGAAGGATCTATCAGTAAGATAGGAACGGATAATGAGGAAGTATGTAGGGTGTAAGAATTTACGGAGTTTGTAAAGCAGTCCTGGGTGCCAGACTCGATCAAAAGCCTGTTCTACATCGAGAAAGACTCCCGTGCAGTACATTCCGCGCTCCAATGCAGAGGAGACAACATCCACCACACGATGGCATTGCTGGATAGTGGAATGGGATCTGCGGAATCCAAATTGATGATCTGGGATAATGTGATTAGAATCTAGGATGGGGTACAGGCGTTTTAGGATGAGCTTTTCCAGGATTTTGCCTAGGATGGGTAAAAGGGAGATAGGGCGATAAGAGGATGGATTTTCTGGTGGCTTTTTGGGTTTATGTATCATTTTGATAATAGAGAATTTCCAAGGGTCAGGAAAGTATGTTGATCGCAGTACAGCATTATATATATATAAGTAAGGAATAGAATGGCTTTCCGAGGAAGGAGTTTTAGGATCTGCGATGTAATTAGATCGTGTCCAGGAGCTTTTCGGGAAGGTAACCTTTGAATGATGTCGGATATTTCTGAAGGATGAAAGGCTTTAGGTGGAAGAGACATTTGGAGTGGGATATCCAGTTCTGCTTCAATACATTCAAGGTGATTTGGGTTAAGAATATCGGGGTGTGGATTAAAGGTTTTAAAGAGGTGACGAGCAAAGATTTGTGACTTTTCTTCATCGGATTTGGACCAGGTTTGAGCTTCAGTAAGAAGCGGATGATTACAGTCTTTAAATTTCATGAGCCTTTTAGTGGTTGTCCATAGTGATTTGTCGGTAGGTGTAAGTTTTTCAGTAAAATTTAGTAAGTTTTGAATTTTGTATTTTTTAATTTCAGATTTTAGTTTGTTAGTCAGTTGGGTATAATGAGTTTTATCTGTTGGATATCTGGTTCTATGCCACTTCGATCTTGCTCTGCGTTTTTCCTTCAATAAAATACGAATATGCTGTGGCAAGTCAGTCTTTTGTGAATTGTTAAACTTATTGATAAAAGTATTATTATTTATACTGTCTGTTATTGACGCTGTCAGTTTTTCAATGGCACCATTAATGTCGTCTTTTGTCTTTAGCGGAATTTTTAAGTCTAGTTTGTTTTCCAAATCATCACGAAATTCGTCCCAGTTTACTCGTCCTGTAATCAATTTAGGAGTTGATGGTTTAGGAGCATAGCTCGAATGTAGTGAAAGCAGAACTGGACTATGGTCTGAAGAAAGGTCATCAAGGGATTTGATTATGGTTTGTGAGGAGGAGATCTGGGAAGTTATAAATATATCTAGGATATCGGGACGTTTTTTGAGGGATGTTGGCCAATAAGTAGGACTCATGGGCGAAAGGATTGAATAATTGTTGGAAGTTGAAACACGTGATAGGATGTTACCGCTGGGGTTGGATGTTCGACAACCCCATCGTTGGTGTTTAGCATTGTAGTCTCCTCCAGCAATAAAGCGCGATCCGAGGGATTGGAATAAGGTATCAAGGAGGTTATAGGAGAGGGAATTACCAGGAGGACAGTATACAGATGAGAATGTGAGATGGAAAGGGCGAGTTGAAAGGACTACAGAAGTTGATTGAATGGCAAAAATACATTTATAAAAAAATTATTAAATTTTCGGCCATATATATTTTTGATACTAAAATACAAGTTAACGTGTTATACTCGTATTTAGAGCACCTTAGAACATGAGCAGCTTAACATGAATGTTCATGTAGAAATAACATTCATTGGGACTTAATGAATGCTTGTGAGTGATATATTAACAAATGTTTGTCGATTTCTTGGGGAATTTTATAGCATTATTGCATTTAGATATATTTTTAAAATAACAAAACGAAACAATTTAATGATTATAACATTATAGTGTTTTTATTTTTATTATATTATACGTGCTAATTTCAATTTTTATATGTTATTTTGTTTCTTTTAATCATTCACATGAATATTTTTTTTTGTTAAAATCAGCTTTCTTTAAAATGTATGTGAATGTCCGTTACACTCATCCATATACTATAATTTCATATCGGTTTATTTATCTCTGATTTTGTGCTAACCAACTCATATGGGATGAAAGTCATTTTGTGTTACCATGTATCCCTTTATTAAATATATTTAATATTCAATGTTTTTAGTAAAAATATTCGATATCTGACTTTTGTCAAGATTATAAGATCCTAAACATTAGGATTAATTGCCTAATATATATATATATATATATTAGCTAGTTCAAACCTTATATACACAGTGGCGTATCTAGACCATTTGTATCTGGGTGTATATTCATTATAGTGATCTCCTATAAATAAAATGAAAAACTCCGGTGTGGCGCTTTCTGTTAAATAGGACCCATAGCGATTTATTTGTGAGAATTCCGCAAATGCCACAGATATCACCAGTCGGTTGGCACCTTTTCTCACCAACTTCAAATCTCTTGGTACCCACTCATATCACTCGTTACAAAATTTTGTATCTCGCATCCCCCTCTTTTAAAAAATCCTTGAACGACTTCCCTTCTCCGCGCTTCTCATTTATAATGAGAACGCTGCTAGCAATCATATTGACGAAATAATAGATTTACTACTTGACAAGATCGTAGAGGTACCACTAATTTCGAAAATTCGACAGACGAGAAAACAGATTTTAAAAATACCTCAATACACTATCTTACTGATCATCCTGACAGTAATGCACAGCCGGTACTGCTTCTATTGTACACCTCCCTCTCCCATCACCTACTCCCATTATCTACTCAGGATTTCCTACAATCCACTGTCATTATAAACAAAAACTTCTCCTTTCTCTTCATCCTACCATCAGCATATTGCCTTCCAAACAGATCAAAATCCAATATCCAGTTCAGTTCTCTCCTCAACATCTTAGGATATCTCATCATCATGGGTGCAGTCTTAAATGCCAAGCATCAATAATAGCCACAAATTATCGTGGAAATTGCTGTTTGCAATCAATTCCCAACATTGTTATCTCCTTACTCTCAACTTATCTACCTACCAGACCATTGATTCTAACCGTAATCTTAATATTTTTGATTTTTTCATCAATAGTGATTTAGGTCCCCTCAATCATCCCCTTACCCGTCTTGATGAACTTTCCTTAGACAGTTGATTGATACTCTAATTATCTGTAGGAGGTGTGTCGTCCAGGAGGAGGGGAGAGATGGCAGGAGAATTAGTCCGAGTTAAGAAAACCCACCGGGCACCGGGATATGAACTCTTAATTATTATCAGATAATCAAATTTACGGACAACGCACGGTACTGTGAACAATCTCAGCCATCCCGAATGAACCTCTCCCTGATTAAGCGAAATCAAATGCAAACACGATAACTTCACAGTTTCTCGTAAATTCTGCCATCCAATTTATTTTAACTCCACCCAGGTTCTTTTTTCAGACACAGTCCGATATGTTGGCTTTTTCTTAGACAGAAGACTAACGTGAAACCCTCATAAAAGGTCGGATCTTGACCGAAGATACGGCCAACTATAAAAACTGAACAGAAAAAAAATTATTTGAATTAAAAAAAAAAACCCGACAAAAATTGGAAAATTCTATCCGCCCTAAAAGAATTGACTTCCATATTACTTAAATATCTTGGTATATAGATAGGGAAATTGATATCTACAAATATTTAAACGTGGTGTAATAGTCGGGCACATTTCAATACAAATTAAGGCTCTAGGAAAATAGATTTCGACCCATGTATGAGTGAATGTAAACATGCGAAAGAGTCTTGAGTTTCGATTGGGGTGTGATGGAAACTCTGCTACTACACCAAGTTTAAATATTCGTAGATATCAATTTCCATATCAATATACCAAAATGTTAAAGTTGATATGGAAATACATTCCTTTAGGGTGGGTAGAATTACGCAATTTCTGTAGTCAAGTTTTGGTTTATTATTTCAATAATGAATCATTGTAACCGTACAAAAAGTTAAAAACTTAATCTCTCTCGCTCAAAATTAGTGATTTTACGTTTCAGGATACTTGTAGTGAAACCAGTGATTCAGGTGGCGAAAACAAAAGGGTTCACAAGTATGGAATTAGAGATGAAAACTAAATGGAAAATCTTGCAAAACATAAACGGGCCAATGGGGAAACAATAGGATGTATAAATGAGAGATAATTTTGAATTGTACAAAACAAGCATTGTATGGGTAGGATAGAATTCAAGAAACTTTCAGAAGACAGGAGAAAACAATATACAAAGACGACTAAGTAATATTTACGTGATTTGGAATTAGACCATCTCCGTGACAAATAAAAATATATTTAATGATAAAAAATTAATAGTATCTTCTTTAACAATTTATGGTTCATTTTAGATTAGTGTACGTCTTTCTCACTATAGTACATCAATTTGTATATTTTTTCATAGGTGATTGTGCTTGGGTGAACGAAATGTCGGGCTTACCAGATAACCCTGCCTACCAAGTTGACTTCAAATCTGGCCTCACCAGCAATATGAACATTTGGCAGAAATTGTACAACGTATATGTTACGTCTTTAACTGTCCTAAGCAGTTATTTCTACTTATATTACAACCAGAAGCGGATCATGGATCAGTACTTCAACTACACCGGGTGGGAGAGCCGTCCATCCATCGACGTTCTTGCCAGGAACAGGAGTTTAATCCTGACTAATTTCGACTACGTGTTCGCAGATCCTTATCCAATGGCTCCACATCGCAAAGACATTGGTGGTATAAATATTAAAACGCCAAAACCACTGCCAGAGGTAATTGTTATTTTGGGCTTCTCTACTTTAGACACACCGGTGATTTTTTAACAGTTTCTTTATGTAACATCTTTTTTTTAACAGTTCTTTATAACATGTAACATCTGGTCAAACATGATATGAGAGTCATAATTGATTCTACAAACATAAAACAATATTAATTAATCTATGAAACGAGTAGTTCATTTAAAAGTTATTTCAAGTGCAGAAATGAATCTATTCGCTAACTAAGTGGCGCTTTAGGAAGTGAGAAAAATGTAAATAGCCACTCTACTAAAATATGGATTGTTAAACAAAATAAGCAAGTGTTCAGGAAGATTTTTTTATTTAGAAATTTAATAATCACGAGGACAATAATTATAGTGATATTCGGCGGCACATATACTAAAATTGGAAATATACAGGAAGAAATAAGGAAATTAAACAAAATGTCAATGTGTGTTTTTTTTAAGATAGGCAGAATTTCTCAGTGTAGGTGCCCGAAAATAAGGAAGATATTCATATTTATAACCTTATATATCGTTATTTTCTAGGTTTTTTACTTTCTAGTCACATGTTTAAGCAGCTCCGAAAGATGAAAAAAAAATCACTGGTGTGTTTTAAGTAGAAAAGAAACCCATTTTGTTTTTTAATACCTAATTATCTAATTATCTAAAAGTTACCCATTGTTTACATGATCTTTTTTGTAGCTCTTGAGATCTGCTACCAATCATATAAAGTCATATTTCTATATTACTAAGTCATATTTCTCTCTACTTACGAGCCACCCTGTATAATTAATAAATTTTCCGCGTGAATAAGTCTAATAAATCATAACTCATTGAACAAGTGAAATAAAATATGAAAATAAGTAAATTCACCACATCATGTAGTATGAGATTGAGGAATTGATTTCAATTTTTTCGGTCATTACAATGTCACTGTAAATTCATTCAAAATAATAAATCAGATCATGTGTACTAACTACCATACGGTGTAATCTAAGCTGTATCTTTGTTGACAATGGTCTGATTTTTTTCTCGTTCTCTATCAACCGTTGGAATTAAAATGAATTGCACGAAAGAAAGGGTGTCATAACTTTTAACAATTAATTTATATCTTACTCAAATTTATGTTCTTTAGTTCCCTTATATTATAAAGTTTGATTAGGGTTTTTTTTTTTTTTATAGATGTAGGTAAGATTAATTTTCAAAGCACTATTATAGCATTATTTCTGTCAAATAGTTATCAATACTAACAGTGACGCGGCTGAGAGAGAAGCACTGGGATCTCCTGGAGTCCTGCCTTGGCTTCCAAGTCGGGGAATAAGGCATGACTCAGAGTCCCCTGGGTGAATGTAAATATTGTACATATGTGTGAATGTGATTTATTTACTTTAATTTCATCTAGCTTTTATCTATTATTTCATTTTTTTTTTTTGTACACAGGCATACCAATTTACTTTTTTTTTTTTTGTTTTATATTTCTTTTTCTTTATTATTGATATTAATTGTATGTACATATTGTGTGAATGAATCATGTAGCCTTAATATTAATGCCCTTCAATATGGCAGAATGTATTAATATTCAGTAAGAAAGTTAAAAAAAAAAAAAAAAGTTATCTATACAGAGATATTTTTATTTCATTTTATTTTATTTTTTTGGTTAGTAGGACTTGGAAAAATTCATGAATGAAAGTAAGCATGGAGTGATTTACATGTCACTAGGGTCTCACGTAAACCCTGCTAACTTTAGAATCCAAATGAGTGCCTTCTTGGAGGCTTTTCGAGATCTACCTCAAAGAGTAATGTTAAAATATGATTCAGAGGACAACAGTCAAATACCTCCTAATGTAAAAGTATCCAAATGGTTTCCTCAACAGGATATACTAGGTAAATTAATTAATTTTATTTTTAATAACGATCATAGTTTTATGTTTCAATAATAGTTATGAGTATAGTTGTATAAATTTTACAAAGATTTCACTCTATTTGTTATATGTTTCTTAAGAAATATTTATCGAAATGCCAGGCTGATAATAATGAAAGATAATTATCCAAAATATCTAATAAAAAATAAATCAGAGCTATTTAAATATATAATGTACTACTCAATCCAGGATTGATTGGATTACTTTTCCAAAGATTAGTTTTGTGTTCATCAGTTTTAAAATTACTCACATTACCTGTGGTAATTATGGCGTATATAGGCGGCATAGAAATTAGCAATTACTACACTAAAAAACTGAATTTATTCAGTTAAAATATACTCAATAAAGGAGTGCTATAACTATAAAAATACAAATTAAGTTTGTAAAGTAAAAATTATAAATTTAGTAGAATGATTTGAGCATATTGCCAAAACATATTTTAACATTAATTTACTATTGCTTAATAAAAATCCTTGTATAGGATATAAGTTAGCTGATGAGATTATGAATTGATGTGGATAATTGGTGTTGTTCATTTGTGATAGTCAAGTACATAGTGTTTTCTCCTCGAGTCAACGACAAAGTACTAAGAATTGCCAAGCCCTCAGTCCGAAGAAAGCCATATTCTATGTCTGTAGAAGTGAGAAAATCAAGCTCCTTCGGTCTATATTTCAAAAATTTCCACCTCCGGAAGAATTTTTGATACCACTCATTTTTCCCTCTTCAATGGGACGGGCAGATTTAACCTCGTAGGAGCTTCCTCAAATCTTTACCATCCTGTCCTTATAATACAACACAATTGCCGGAAGTATCTTATCTCAGTAGCAGCTTGAGAAAAAGCGGCGACCAAACCCCGTTAAAGGCGGAGGATATGTCTAAGAGCCATGACATATCGCTCCTCCTTTTGTTCAATACGTACTCTCGACAAGGCTTCAACAGTTTCACTATCCCATACTCTGTGGAATCATATTGTCGCTGATTGTTTAAGCTCGTTATAACTTGTCGTAGACAGACTATCATAAACCTCTTCAGGATTTAACTCATAACAAGAAGAAGGCGTATAGGTCTGTATGACTTGGACAGCTGCTTCTCCCTGGCACCTCCCCGGTACATCATTCTCAGTTCGGCAAGTTTCTACGTTTTTGGAAAATATCCGTTTTGCAGGTAATCCTCGTAGATTTTCAGGAGCTCTTCTTTCATATAGGAGGTAGTTTTTTTTCTTTATCTAAATTGACACATGTATAGGGTCAAGCCATGGAGGACATCTAGTTCTTTATTCATCCACAGCATTACGAAGGTCATTTCTGTCCCATGATGTGCGCAAGTCCATACCATGAGGGTAAATCATAGGATGTCTCACACACTTATTCTTCCTGACCACCAAACATGGTTCCATTAACTTTGTGTCTACAAATGATCAACATATTCTATTAGTACAAGTTTAACACATAAACGTCAGTTACAATGTATTTTAATTTTAATACTCCATACAACTTTGAAAACTAGTTGAGCTGTCCTATCGAGGCCTTCATCACAGGCAAACAGAAAATCTTCATTGTGTATACTCTGAATGCACCAAATATTTTAAGAGTTACTACAATTCTGGTCAGGGCCTGATTTTTCCTTATCTTACACTTGACGAAGTAAATTTGCACTCTTAAGTCTATCTATTTGCGTTAATCGCTTCGGTTCGTGTGGAGTATTTTTCTCGCAAATCTTTCAGTACTTCATTCTAGACTGCTGGCTAATGTATTGATCTCGCAGCTGTTTATCTCTATGATAACATTTAATAATTATATATATATACTTTTTGTTCTAGCTCATAAGAACTGCGTTCTTTTTGTTACACACGGAGGATTGTTGAGCTTATCAGAAGCCATATACTACGGTGTCCCGCTCATTGGAGTCCCAGTTATCGCAGACCAGGTCAAAAACATGGCAATGATGGAGTCACAAGGAATTGGAAGGATGCTAAAGTTGAATAATATCACCCGTGACACAGCCTCCTGGGCTATTAGTGAAGTCCTCTCAAACAATCGGTGAGATATTTAATTTTGATCGAATAACTTAGGTCGCATGTTTTACAATTTGCACAATCTATAACACATATCTATAATCTATAGCACCTGCTTATTTACAAATGATTTTTGTAGCATGGTTTGTGATAATTTTATCAATGTAATATAATTATTAATTTTATATAGATTATATAAAAGTAGTAATATATTTTATGTTGACTTAATTTATCTGTTTTGAATCAGTTATTGTATCTTGTTTCCATCTGGAACTACAACTCCGGAGCTCATTTACTAAATGAAAAAAAAGGAAGTTTAATTATTTGGAGAAAAAAAAAGATGTTCATATATTTACGTCATATAAAAAGTTTATTAACACATCATACTTTTTGTGTTACAAATTTTAAATTAAAAATGTGCCAGAACAAATTAATTCCTCAATTTAATTTTTAGCAGAAACCCTCAATATTATTTCTAAGTCTAACGATTCCATTTACCATGTTGAAAAATCCACCACTTGATGTTTTAAACAATGACGAGCAGAAAGTTAATTTATTTGGTTGAACTATTATTTAATAAATACATAACAATGACTTCTTCCATGATAATAATCCTACCCCTTTCTTCAGTTATAGGAAAGAAATTCTCCGAAGATCAACAATTCTCAAAGACAGGAGACATTCGCCTGTTGAAGAAGCTGTTTACTGGGTCAATCACGCTCTTAAATATCCGTTTGCACTATCTCCTAAATCAGTGAATCTTTCTACCGTTCAATTACATCTGATCGATGTGAAGATCTTTATAACATTAGGACTATTTTTAGTATTATTTATTTTTTACTTTGTTTTCACTATCATAAGAAAAATGACACGTAAGACGATAAGAAAACATAAAGAAAAAGTTCAGTAATGAAAAAGAAATAAAAAATATTTATTAATGTATGTGGTATATTTCTTTAAACATGTGTACCTTCGAATATAAAATACACCTAGATTCATCCTATCAATTTTAGGCGATCCTCGAAGTTAATATTAATATGTACAATCAATACCATCGACCCTATCAGTATAAAAACTGTTGGGGTTTTAAGGCATCATTAATTATAAAAGCAAAATTATAATAATGCATTACAAATGTTGACATGAATATTGTCTGGAAGAGATCACTAAGATATCGCTCCGGAGTGCCATGGTTCAGGGGGCGACGCAGATTTGTGACATGATTCAATGTTTTGCCAAACATAGAAGTAAAGCACTACTTTTGAACATCGATAAAAAAAGAGGAAATTTCTTTTTAAAATCGATGGTCGTGAATAACTTGAGTAAAGATTTCAGAGGAGGGCGATCAGTCCCTCCCCCAATAAAAATATAGAGAAAAAGCCTGTCGGAAAAAAATTAGAGAATCCTCTCTTCTTTTAATCCTTCCAAATCAAAGAACACATTACCGTGTAGGCAACGTTAGGGACCTCAATTAATCTCACAATTCAATATTTCACCTTTCTTGAAGATGGGGCATGAAAGAGCTGTATACCATTCCGCTGGCATCCTTTCAATCATCCATACGTCAAAAATTATTTCATACAGTTCATTGAGTACGGTATCTCCGCTATACTTTAACAGCTCCAATGGTATACAACACGAGGAGCTTTATAATTTGTGATGCTGAAGAGAATTTCGAAAACCTCTTTCTTCTCAGGAGGTGCTTCTATCTCCACCTTCATTCTCTTGTGTCTGATTACATCCTCTTCTTCCTCTGTGTTCATCGGGCTCTGAATATGCCGACTACACCTGCTTATTATATCTCTCTGAGTGGTCAGAAGGTTGCCATTCTCATACTTTATGAAGTCTTTTCTCGCCTTGAATCCCTTAAGTATGTTATATACATATGTGTATATATATGTAACTGAATATATACAACGCCGATTCAGATTTCTGTGGATGTCTGTCTATCTTTCTAAAACTACCTTTATACATACCTTAATCGTAAATTTTAATAAACATAGTAGATTTCATTTTGTGGTATCATAATATTCGCCAGGACAAATTGACCATAAAAGCTCAAAATCTCATTTTCCAAATAAATTGTCCTTTTAAGCTTTTGAAGTGTGGCTGTCGATATACTCGTATTCAAATTTTTTTTTCTTATTTCTCTATGTATCCGATAGAATTAGTTGGGGTAAGTTGTTACTTTTTGTTTTTCTCCATACTAAATTTCATATAAATATATTCGTTAAAGGTATTTCCAACAATGTTTCAGATTTATATAGATGAATACATATAAAAATCAAAGGCAAGAAAAAAAATTGTAAATAGGCTATTTTCTAAATAATATTTGAGGTTGTTTAAAAATGGGAACTTTTAGACACGCTCTCCTCTTTTTCCATTAAATCTTAAATTCAAAATTTTTCATTATCACAATACTTTCCTTAACTATAGATAAAACCTAAAGTAAATCATTAGCTATGGTCATCTCCAAAATTAAAGGTAAACTTTTAGAACTTTCATAACCATTATTAACTATTTGACATCTTAATGATGATTTCTTTGTAGATATTTCACAGAAGTGTTTGTGATCCGTTTAATAGGCAAATCTCTTTTTATGTTGGCGTGTAAAATGGTTTGTTCTGATAGCATTATGCAAAGCGACTTGTTTACTGTTTATTCTGTTCTTCTTTTTTTGGCTTCTAAGATATCTATATCTTCATTAGAATTTCCGAATATAAAATATAGTAATTAATAGTTATTATTTAATATGTACATTAGCAAATAGAAAAGTTACAACAGATTACATCAGTATTAAAGAACTATCTTACCTTTTTAAAAATTTGTATTTATTTTGGGCTGCTCACAAATCATGGTTTGTATTTTTGAGAAAAGTAAAAAAAATAGTATTTAGAATCAAAAACTATCATTTGCACTTTAGATTTTAGACATAAAGTTGCAAATTTGGTTACTTGTCTGTCAATCAGTAATGACATACATAAGACCGGGCATATAACATATTAACGTTCATCTGATTTTCACGTTTTTTTCAGACATTGTTAGGAATAATATCAAGATTTCTTGATATTTATTTCATCAAATTCCGAATACCTTTTTCATATTCCCATGCGTAAATGTATTTTATTATACACGCCAAAGTTTCAAAACCTACTATTTCGGTTTAGGTTAAAGTAGTAAATGACAATTATCATGTAGGTACTAATTTCATTAAATTTCATGAACAACTTTCAATAAATACATTCTTAATGGATGCGCTAAGTTAGCGCTGCTAACGTACTTTTCTTGATAAGACCCTAAGTTGGAAAATATTGGACAAATAGTTTATTTATATTTTTATTCAATTGTTTATGAATTTATATATGGTTTAAGATAATGCCTTTGAAATGTGATAGGCAAAGAAATTACCGTACTTCCAGAAAGAATAGAGAACAATTAATAAATTTTCTTTACTAGAAAACCGTTTTTAAATGTATTAATACTTTCTGTAATATAATAATATCGAATCTATATCAGCATTTTTTATTGATTTTAATATGTATTTTTCTAGCCTCTAAACTCTGAACCTCAAGCAAGAAGCAATTTAAATCTTTCGGAAATTTTTAGAGTTATGCCTCTTTTCAGATCATTGGACGTCTTAACCAAGCCTTCTCCATTTCTTGCCAGTTCGTACTTTTGTCTTCCTGTTATCTTAATGCAGTAATTCAGCATGTTTGTAGATTCGACCTGGTCTTTTGACTTCCACGTCGTCTCTTGCTTACTATGAGGCAATTGATGATGAGTTTGTTCATAGAATATCGATAATTGGAAAAAAATATTACACATGAAAACATTTGAATTAAAATGTTCACATATCTTGAAAGCTCTTATGAAGGTTTAATTTTTCAATGACAAGCCACTTCAATTAAGTATTTTAAAAACGATTGTTAAACAATTGCAAATAATACCAATTTCAACTTTTGAAATGGTGATTCATTATTTTGATTATAAATCGAACTCCAGACATGTTTCGTAAGTAAAAATGATATCTAAATCAACTCTATCATGATAAGAATCATGAGTTTCATTTTCTTGATTTGGGTTTTTTTTTTTTTTTTTTTATGAATTAGTTCAAGATTGTCTGAGCATGTATGCTAACATCACAGTGCAAGCAAGTACCTTTTTCTTAGTGGTTGGGCATTGAATATTTAAGTAAGTATAAATCTAGTTGCTTATTATAAATTAATCTTTATGTCTGGAGTATATTTAGTCCTTTTTAGGTAATAAAACGTTCCGCCTGTAACTAGAGGCTTGATATTTATACTTTAGTAAACTGAGAATTCAATAGAACAGGAGTAAATTCATACACGTATGATTACGTGTTATTTTTATTAATTAAATTAATGATCGCAGAGCTAAATAGTTGCTGATCATTGAATCGAGTGAACACCTTTTGCTAAGATTATTTTAAAAAAATAAAATAATATATATATTTTTTAAAACTTTTGTGGTTTCGATTTTATCAATTATGTGAACAAATTCTTAACTGATATTGTAAAATAGACAACGACACGATTTCGATTCGATAGTTTCTGTACATTTAATCTCTTTCGCAAATGTTGATTTAATTAGGAAAAAGAAAAAAAGTATGAACATATTAATCACAATAGTGTTTAGAAAAATATTCTGATATTGTTTATTTCCGATTGATAAACTAGTCTTAATATTTTTTACATAAGTATCGTAATGGCCTTTTCTCTGATCTCTACAGAATTTTAAATGATAACGTTTTCATGTAATATTATAATTTTGTACATTAGTAAGATGAACAACGTACCTCGTCTCAGCAATTAGAATCTTGTTCAATCTTTTACAATTTTTATTTATTTATTTTTTAAATAATAGTTATAATATAATTTCTTCAAAAAAGCAGTTACATCACGTCTGACTTAAAATATTTGGAATTAATTTTCAGGAGAGAAAAATTATTTCTATTAATGACATCGAAGATCTAAAATAATTAATTTGAATTTTTCAGAATTATATTAGACCGTTAATTATTTGGCATTACATTCTATAGTATAAATTCCATAGATGTTGTCATTTTTGGCAAAAATTGTTATGGACTAGATTCTAACTGTGTCTCATGCCTACATTAAATTATTGGTTTCTAATTATGTCAGCATGTTATGTTTACACTCAGACGCAACTCTTGTCCACCAATACAATTTAATTCCATCCAGTTTCCTTTCTCAGAGACAGTCCTGCGTCTTCGCTTTCTTTTAGACTGAAGGCTAACATGAAATCCACATACTAGACTCAAAAGACAAGAACTCGGACAACTGTACAGAATACTCAACAGAAAATCAACTTTCAATTGAAAACAAATCCTTACAAATACTTATCCACAAGACAATCCTGAAACCAATATGGACATACGGACTTCAACTATGGGGGACAGCAAAACTTTCTAACATCAAACGCATTCAATCCTTTCAATCTTAAGTCCTTTGAACAATAGTTGATGCTCCATTCTATGTAACCAACGAAACCCTACACCATGACCTTAATATCTTATTTGTCTTAGAACTTATCCCAGAAAAATCGACACATTTCACCAAAACCTTACATATCATCCAAATCCCCTTGCACAATCAATATCCAGCACCACCCATCCCTACAATCCTCCTCGAATGTTGAAGCGGCAATGGCCTATAGACCTTTTATGAATAAGTATACATTAGAGTTTTAGCATCGACCAGATTCTCCACCCATGTGTGTGTGTGTGTGTGTGTGTGTGTGTGTGTGATTATAGTGCCTCTAATCAGCTTCTACTGGTCCTTAAGTAATACGGCTGAGTGAGGGGCGCTGGGATCTTCTAGAGTCCTGCCTTTCCTTACACGGGTAGAGAATAGAAAAATAGAAACATGTGCGTATGTGGGTAGTTATTTTTATAAGTTTAGTTGTTTTTTTGTTGTTTTTTTTTGTTTAGTTTAGTTTAAATACATTTACTTTCATTATTATTGTTTTTCTGTATTATTTATTATTTATAGAGTGTGAATGTTCTCTCTGAACACTATTATAAATGTTCTTAATTGCAACAGATGTAATATCTCTCAATAAATATGTTTAAAAAATAGAAAAAATAAATGAAAATATTTTCTCGTATAATATTTTAAACATCTGATCGAAGGGTGAAATTTCAAATGATGATATTTTCTTCAATTGTTTTAAATTTTTTAACTATAAATTTAATTCGTTCGAACAACATGGCCTATCCACCGATGCCTTCCAATCCTTATACATTTGTATTATTATACAGTATTCCTATTTCAGCATTTGTATTTATCGTAAAATATTATAGCTGAACAATGGCCCAATGATTCTGCTCAGGATTCACCTCTCGAACCTTAGTAACATTAGTTATTGAGCTTAGGAGATCGTTCAACATTCGGACGCACAGATCTGAACAGGTGAGCTTTTTATAAAGCTGAACTTGGGTGCACCGTGAGAGACATATACTTTTGAAATAATAGACATATAATAGACATAACATCTGTTTGCGGCCGTCCTTAATTTTGCATAATATTGTCGGAGTTCACATGAGAGCCTAAAAAAAAATTTGTTCACACACTCAAATGTGAAGTCTCCGATATTTATGTGAGAGTCCTGCTGATTAAAGGCTTGCAAACCTATTCTCATGTATAGAGTTTACCATCATTTACGGCCAGACCCATTGTATGTGCTTCCTGCAGAGTGAGAATTGACAAAGAGTCATCCGTGAAGCCAAGGATTTGAGCCGATCTGTTAAATAAGGTCTTATGACTACATTAATAGTATTTTTATATATGAATACTGAATATTAAGCCTAACCAGTAGTAGACAATGTTGCGCGATTTGTCTATAAGCTCTAGGCTGACACCGTTCTTTGTCTCGTCTAGCGTCCACACTACGATGTGAATTTCTCAGTCTCAACTTGGCTGTTCACCACAGAGGACATTGTTTTGTGTGGAATACGTTTTTGCTTAGTGCTAATTACTAGCGAAAGAACGCGAAAACTTAGAGGTTGGTGGACATGCGAAGTTCTCACAGAAGGACCTACGTTCGGCAATGTTTGATTAAATAAATTGATTTGGCTGGAAGTCGCTAAAGGCTTTCGGAATTTCATCTAGATGACATCAACTGTTTTTGAAGATTTTCTCCTGATGGTTGGAGGTCTAAACAGTCGGAAAATCATTCAGAAGCTAGAGACCGAATGGGACATGTCCAGACATGTTTCGCCTCCAGACACCGACAGACGTCCATACTATCTGAATGTTGTGCAACATGTCTAACTTTGCATTATGTTTCCCATTCCGATCGGGAGACTTTAGACCTGCGATTTATGGTCTCGCAACAGGCCCGTATATTTGTCTATAGACATAACTAGCTAGACATCCTAAGACATGGCTCAGTGAGAAAAATCGCGTAACATGTATACTAGTTGGGACTAGGTTTTGGAATAAACATTCTTTCAACATTTTAAAGAATGCTTATCCGTAATTTTCCTTAAGTAATTTAAGAAGAACAACTATGAATCTAAATAATGCGGCAAGAACGAGGAAAGAGGCGTTACTCATACTTCTCCAACGCAATTTCTAAAAAGACACCAGATAACATGTAGGAGTAGATTAACTACTGATTTTTTTTTCATACAATCAATGCAATAACATGTTTGATGATTACGTTTGACCGTTTTATAATATAGGTACTTAGATATTTTTCGGCATCATCCTAATAATACCAGTATTTTTATATAGTTCAATGATTTTATTACCCTTAATTTCAATTAATATTTTTAACAGGTAATCTTTGATAGAATATTATGACTCCACTTCTGTTCCTCTTGGCATTCGGAATCTCAGTGGAATCTGCCAGGATCCTTGCTTTCTTCCCAGTTCCGTTTCCTTCGCACCATTTCATCTTTCGGCCAGTAATTGAAGGACTTGCCCAAAAAGGTCACCAGATACTCTATGTGACAGGATTTCCTTACAAAGAATCTCCAAACAATATAGATCAAATTATAATAAGATATAACGTATCTGAGCTAAGAGGTGAGTACATAATATATTTTAACAATGTATATATGTTTTATATTTACAAATATGCACCACTAATGGCATCATTCATGAAAAATATGTTGTTGATATAGTTATATCATATTTCCTTGAATTTCTTTTCATAAATAAATTAATAATACACGAACTATATTTGTATTCAAATGAATTTACAGATGGAATTACTGATTTCCAAAAAATGCCAGAGCGAACCATACTGCAAAGTATGGATGATATGTACAAGATATCTGTGATAATGTCCCGCTATAGCGTAGGAAGTAAAGAAGTACAAGATCTGATACACTCAGACCAGAAGTTCGACGCCGTCATGTTTGAATCTTATTTTTATCATGAATTCGTCTCAGCATTAATTCATAAGTTTAATGCTATTGGTATAGAAGTGATGTCTTTAGGTAAGCAATATTTTTCGTTATGAAATGTAGTTTTTGTAAATTTAATTTCTATTTCTTTTCACAAATAACTTTGTGACTATGTTTGCCCTAAATCAGTTTTGGTCTTGCAATTTGGAAGACCAGGCCAAGAACCCCTGACTTGCAAGACCATGACCAAGAAGTAAAACGTAATTTTCAGTTATTATATGTAAAGAATTGATATTTCCAATATTCTTTTGCATATAATTCTTCTGATTTTTTATTCCGTCTTAGTTAGGTCTCTTCTATCTTAAAACATACAGCCATACCTCTAAAGTAATAAGCTAATAGGTAACTGCAAGATTGTAGCGAGACTCTTGCGCAAGACCAAGAGTGCGATACACTATTTGGGATACAATATTTCTTTATTTTATTTATTTCTACACTATTCACTCATTAAATTAAAAGTTCCTTAAACTAAAAGCTCTTAATAGGGATAGTTATGAGTACCAGTGGGTTAGATATATGACTAACAATTTGCTTTGAGCCCATCTCTATGACTCGTTGAGATCATGAGACAAACTAACACACTTTAATATCGAGTAGAGACAATTTTACCCAATTTTTTAAATAATCCACTTTACCGCTGATTATCAAAAAAAATGAATTAAAACATAAACCTAAAAGGGTGTCTAAAAAGCAACATGGAAATCATGTCTACCAATGCCATGAATTGGTAGAACACTTGCTGCTTCCATATTTCCATCAAATAAGATACTTCATCACAGACTGTTAGGTATGGCAAACTAACAAAATCCCTACAATCCTGAATGGAAAAAATCGAATAATGAACTTCAAAGATAAAAACAAAAACGTCATAAGCTGTGGTAGTATACCACAAAGTTACTAAAAATAACTGTTAACTGTTTAAAATGAATACTGTTGACATCGTTTTTTTAACTCCCCTTTTCATCACTTGAAAACTTCAGTTCAATGTTCATCGTTCAAGTGGTCTCTTTTCTATATTCTTTTCTCAAGTGTCACATTACGAAATGCATTGGATTCACGGGCGTGTCAGATGAAGAAAATCTTGAGGGGAGTTGGAAATTTGAACGACAGCAAATACTTAAAACAAACTTATGTGCCAATTAAGAAGCTACATAAGAGCACTTAAAAAAAAAAAACAGTCAGGCCAGTATAGCTTCCACAACATTTTCATCAGCTAAACAAATATCTATAATTCAAAGTATATATTGTTTTCGTAGGAGAATAAAATCTCTGGGAGAAGCCATTTTCGAAAATGCAGTAATCTCTAAACATTCGCGGGTTTGATATGCACCAATTTTGTTCATCAGCGAGTACTAAAATGAGGAAGGATTAGGCATTTGCAAATCGCGTATTTGTTAAATCGTGATTAAAATGAAAAAAAAAAACAACTAGTAGATACTGAAATGTAAATCGCCACTGATAGTGTAAAAAGTCTAATTATATATTTATGATTTATTAGTGTGATTTCATATATTATTTTTCCTGTGCCATTAGGCTACCAATATCAGTTGCACACAACGAAATGTCACCTTCAGCACCAATATAATAAAAATGGAAAATTGTTTCATGTGACATTTTACACTAACAGTAGCGATGTATACTTATAGGTATGTTTTCACTAGTAAAATGGATGGAACCAAAAATCAATTTAAAAGTTCAGACAACTTGGATAATTAAGCAGGTAATTGAGACGAGTTGCTTGAATTTCAATAGAAAAAAAAAACAAAATCACAAAGATTTTTTTTTATTAACTAAATAACATAAAAATTAGTTAAAATTTACTAAAATTACATTAAATCTAAGTGAAGTCAGTAAGTGTCATTACAGGAACGTTTGAAATCGACCAAACAATAAAGTATAAATCAACTTTTTGAATAAATGTTATAATGTTAAAAATGTTATAAGAGAAAGTAGAGGACACAATTCAATTAAATCAATACAGAATCGTTATCGTTAGCAAAATTTAACTTTGAGCCAAATCGAACTAGCCATTTCTGAAACATTGGTTTATCTATGAATTGTTACGTCTTGCACGAATACAATGCTTCCCTACCTTTGGTAGTAAGGAAACAAAATTGTGACTACAGACTACACAATTGTAATATATACAAACAAGACATCAAAAAATGTTATAAAAACGTTTTCTGAACTGATCCACTTACATCAAATGAACAAACACGGATATTTTTTCTATGATATGCGTCCTACTGATACATAATAGTACGAATTTTAATTTTAAATCTTTTATCTCTCAAATATTATGCAAACAATGGTGTAATCAAAGAGATAATTTATCTGAATTTAGGGATACCCCCTTTCCAACTTCGATGTTGCACGAGCTCCAACACCTCTCTCAAAATATTTTATTCCTATCCTCTTCTTAAATAGGGTGTAAGCGAGAGTATAATCAAGAAAATCATAGAACATATATAATTGCTCTTGCGGTGGTATTTTCAATATTTTCCCCTTATCCTACACTGGGAAATGTTTAATTTAAAACTCCGTCGAAATGTGTCATTTTCAAAAATTCAAAACCCCGTCATAATATGACTCCTCAAAAATTTTAATATCACAACTTGCAACATTGAACCATACTTCTGGGAAGGAACCCATGCCTGAGACTGTTTTATTTCGTTTTGAGGTAATGCCATTTTCCATTGAGAAATTTAAAAAAAATAATTAATTATGATTAATAGATAATTAAGTATCTCAACTGATTATGCTAATGGTTTTAGGTGATAATGCATGGGTCAACGAGATGTCGGGATTACCAGATAATCCTTCTTACCAGCTGGATTTCAAATCAGGCCTCTCGAACGATATGAGCTTCTGGCAAAGACTGTATAACACTTATGTTACTGGAGTAACAACTATTGCTGGTTACTATTATTTGCATTTTCTCATGCAACCTATAATGGACAAATATTTTAATTACACTGGATGGGAGAGTCGGCCATCGATAGACGTACTTGCCAGAAACAGGAGTCTGATCCTAGTAAATTTTGATTACTTGTTTGGATATCCATATCCAGTCGCTCCGCATCGCAAAGACATTGGTGGAATCAATATAAAACCAAATGAAGTGCTACCAAAGGTAATTGCTATGAAAATAATTATTAAGAAAGGATAATTCCATTTGAAATCATCAGAAGCGTTGAACGCTGTGTCTCAGATAATGCAACAATTCCATACATGCTAAATCGATGAGATATATAGACGAAAACATTTATTAAAATAACCCGATTACAATTTCTAGTCTGACAAATAAAAAGACAATTATATTCAAATAAGAATATATAATAAATGTATGAATTACTGTTGACCGAAAATATACGGCTTATTAAAAATACCCTTGGTAGATCAAGACAATTACTAAATATGTCAACAACTAACTAATAAATATGACAAGAAAGTTATCATTTACTTCACAGGTTTCAGCAACGGTTGTTTCAACATTATATTATCAGTAAAATCAGTTCCTTAATTAGGTATAACAATCGCTGTCCCGTTATACTCGCTAGAGGGGACAAACAAACCTCCATAGGGCCCTTTACAGTTGGGGGCGGGACCATTTTTGACAGCTTGGCCACGTTCGTCTAGCTTCGGAAAACCTCGGCCCTTCTCGGTTATATATATATATATATATTTTTTTTTTTTTTTTTTTCCGAAGCTAGACGAACGTGACCAAGCTGTCAAATATGGTCCCGCCCCCAACAGTAAAGGGCCCTCTGGAGGTTTGTTTATCCCCTTTAGGTATTATAACGAGACAGCGATTATTATACCTAATTAAGGAACTGATTTTAACTGATAAATATAAGCGTGTGCAAAACAACCGTTGCCTGGAAACCTGTGAAGGTAAAATGATAAACTTTCTTGTCATATTTTTTAGGTAGTTTGTTGACATAGTTTAGTAATTTGTCTTGGATCTTACCAGAAGGGGTATTTTTTAAGAAGCCCGTATATTTGCCGGTCAACAAGTAATTCATACATTTTATTATTATATTCTTATTTTGAAATAATAATTGTCTTTTTTGTTTTGTCAGACTAGATAATTAGTAATTCGGGGTTGTTTTTAATAAATGTTTTCGTCTCTATTATATCTTCATCGATTTTAGCATGTAAGGGAATTGTTGCATTTTGTTGACCATTATTGTCTAGAAATTGGTCCAGTTATATACGTGTTTGATAAAAGATAATTATCATGGCGTAAAAAAAAAAATATTAGCGTTTAATATATATATTGATATATATAGACAAATATACAACATTGTAGTCAGATAATTTGTTTTATATTATTTAATAAATGTTTTACCTAAGAATACTGGATGAATATAAAATAAATAAAAGATAAAGTTATATTAGTCTTTCTAATTAAATGATGGAACATAAAGAAGTTGATATTAGTTATATTACTTCTTGTCGGTTTATAAAAAAAACTCACTAAGTATATTTTTAATGGGGCTTAAATTTTCATTGAGCTACTCTAAGTGCTCCATAGTCAGATTTCAAAGAGGGAAAATTCATCAAAGTCATCATTCAAAATATAACCATTTATGTGACTCAGTAAAATTTGGGTGTTTCTGCAATATTTTAAAAGTAACAGCAAAGTTTCACTAAAATCTATAAACAAAAAAAATTATAAAATAATTTGTAATGAATTTAGTTGACTTAATTAATCTATCAATATGGGACTTCAATAGAGGTCTTGGGTCGATGAGAAGACAATAATATATCGAATACACGTAAACTGGTTTTCGAGGTACGTATTAAGGTTTACGTATGCAGTTCCGTATTTATTTTTCAATGGGTGATTCGACTTTAAATGACCCAATATAGTTTATATATAAGTTAAGCGTCGTCGGACTTAGAAAACAAAAAAAAAGAAGGAAAAGGGAAAAGATGTAACATACACGACTTCTGAAATAACACTGCTTTATTCGTTCCATAAGCCTCCTTATATACACTTAGCCTGTTTATTTACATTACCAGATAGTATTAAGGCTGATACCGCCAGTCTCCGGTCTTTATCTCCCCCCCACCAGTTTACGAACAGGATTTTCGGAAACTTAAATATTGCTAGATCGGAGCCCACGGTGACCAGCCTTAACACTTTACAATTGGTTTTACAGTATATCCTTAAAAGAAAATAAAATAGTTCCACTCAACTGGAAAAATATTAAATACAGAAGAAATAATTAAAAACACTGAAACTAAACACAGCACTTTAGAACTCCTACCACTTGAGAACTCCTAACAACAACAAAAAAAAACACAATTTCCTCTATACATGAAATAATACAACAAAAAAAAACAAAAAAAAAATCTTTTACAACTTGTTTTGTTTTGACAGCCACAAAAAAAAACATATTCCTCTGTTTTATCTACAGCGGTGAGGGTACTACGAATCCATAGGCCTATGTCCCGACTCTATCATTGGGAGCTTTAATTGTTCGATATGAACGGTTCTCCTCTTTCTGGGCTCATTCACGCTCTCAATAGTTACCAGGTTATGCTCCCTAATAACAACCACTCTGAATGGACCCTCGTACCGTAGCAATTGTTTCCCTCTGTTGGTTCCCAATTTCCGGTAAACTATTGTTCCTATTTTTAGTTCCCCCATTTGGTCGCGAACTTGTACATTCTGCCTTTCCACCCGCTTCTGCTTTTCCCGCTTAATTCTCGCCGTTATCTTTCCCCATGTTTTCTCTACCTCTACCCTATTGCTGAGAATTTGATCCACTAACGGTTCGGTAAGCGTAGTTTCCCCATAATCCCGCCTTGGCCTGCGCATCCCGAATAGAACTTCCATGGGTGAAAACCCCGTTACGGAGTGGATCGAGTGGTTATAGGCTGTTACCGCTTTCCTCATTGCCACATCCGGCTCCAACCCTTTTTCACCCTGATATACACGGACGTGGTCGCTTAACGTACTGTGCAGCCGTTCAATACCGCCTCTACCTTTAGGATGTCCTGGGGTGTTATAATGCCACGCAATTTCCAATCGCTTCACCTCCTCCCTAATCGCGGCATTGTCGAACTCCCTACCACCGTCCGAAGTAATCCTCTCGGGGACCCCATAGAACTGCACCCAGGTTTGTAGGGCTTCCGCAACTGCATTGGCTGACTTCTCCATCACTTGGTATGCCATCGCCACCTTGCTGAATATGTCGATTACCGTGACCCACTTAAACCCTTTCCAGGTAAACGTGTCAATCTGAAGGTCCTGTAGCGGCATATTCCCTGTAGGTGTCTCCTCCTGAACTCCTCTGGGGGGGTGTCGATCGTATTTTGTGCGCATGCATATCTCGCATTTCCCAATGACTTCCTGGATGGACCTCTTCATGCCCCACCAGAAATACTTCCGACGCAATGCCTGCAGCGTCTCATTAACGCCTCGGTGATTGGTTTTCCCCTGGTGATATGCTACTGTGATTGCTTGCTGCTGCTCTTCGTCCTGTATCGTCTCCACAGCATACTTACACCGGATGAATGTCCTGTCCACGCCTATTCGCTCGGACCTCCACATTCGCTTGATCTTATCCCATACCGTATTGTTTCCTACGTATAGGTAGTGCGTTTTACCCGCTTCCGAGGCATCCCTCAGTGCCGTACAGATTTGTTCTTCGCTGACCCCGGGCTGCGACCAAATGACGCGGATCCTACTTCTCCCGTACCTTCTGAAATCGATCTTCATGATTCCGGTTGTTCGTGTCTTCCAAATCACCTGACGGTGTTTGTCGTTCACGATCTCCTCTATTTCTTCCATCTCCGCTGCCCTTTCCTCCGCTGAGCTCTCCTCTTCTGGGGAATCTCCCCTGTCCTCAATCCCTGCGGTGTCATTTGCCCCTTCGCCATCGGGAGTCCATTCCCTCAAGAATTGCCGCACGTCCTGCGATGGTCCTCCCCTGTCCTCTTCAACCGCGTTGATCATGATGGCCCTCGAGAGCCAGTCTGCCACCACGTTTTCCTTTCCCGGCTTATACACCACCTCTATGTTGTATTGGCTTAGGATCTCCTTCCATCTTGTGACCCTAGCTGAGGTTTCCTTGAGTTTTCCTACCCACTGGAGGGGTTTGTGGTCGGTATGGACTCGAAATTTTCTCCCGAATACGTATGGCCTGAAATGGTCGATAGCCCATACTATCGCGAGTAGCTCCCTCTCCAAAGCGCTGTACCTTGATTCCGCACCCGTAAGCCGACGGCTCGCGTATGCTATCGGTCGTTCACCCTCACTCCCCCCCTGGGACAAAACGGCCCCTAGCGCGTATTCACTCGCATCAGTGGTTATATTAAAAAGCTTCTCGAAATCCGGAAACGCTAACACCGGCTCCGTCAGCAACCTATTCATACATTTTCGAATGTTATTCTCCATCTCTGGTGTCACCACAATCTTCGCGCCTTTCTTCAACAAATTGTTAATGGGTACCAAATACTCTGCCATCTCGGGTACGAATCTCCGGTAATAATTCAGCGTCCCGAGAAGCCTACGAATCCCCTTGACGTCCCTTGGTACCGCCATCCGCGTGATTGCTTCCACCTTTGCCGCATCCGGTCTGACCCCCTCGCTAGAGATAGTGTGGCCTAAAAAATTGATCCGCGTTTGTCCCAGCAGAGACTTCTCGCTTGACAATTTCAGCCCGAATTGCCGGAGCCTTTCGAATACTGCCCTCAGATGCTCCACGTGCTCGGTTTCCGTTCTGCTAAAAATCAGCAGGTCATCCATGTATACCTGGCATACCGAGTCATCGATGCCCCTCAAAAATTCGTCCATCAGACGCTGAAACGTTATGGGCGCATTCTTCAGACCAAACGGCATCCTGGTGAATTCATAATGCCCCCTTTCAAATGTGAACGCTGTTTTGTGTTGGTCTTCCGGGTGCATCCGTATTTGGTGGTATCCCGCCTTGAGATCCAGCGTGCTAAAGACCACGGCCCCACTCAACCTATCGAGTATATCCTCGAATCTCGGGATCGGGTACTTCTCGTCTACCGTGTTATCGTTCAATTTACGATAGTCTACTACCACCCTGTATTTTTCCTTATTATCCCCCGGCGCTGCCTTCTTTTTCACCGCCCACAGGGGACTATTGAATGGTGAGGTGCTATCAACTATGATTCCCTGTTCTTTTAGACTATCTAGCTCCTCCCGAATATGCTGTCTCAACGCCTGCGGGTATCTTCTCTCTTTCACGTAAGTTACCCTCTCCTGTTTCAGTGGGATTTCGTGCACCGTCCTCCCTGTTACTCCTAATACCTCACCTTCCCTGAAGAAGATATCCCTAAACTCCTCTTGTAGCAACTTCCTCCAGTCCTCCACTCTGTCCACCGCTCCTATCCGCACCCTTCTTTCTCTCGCGACCCCTATACATCCGAACTTCCTCTTTCCTAACCTAACGCTCCAGACTCCTCTACGGTTTCTAATGCTCGCCCCTACCTGACCTAACAAATCGCACCCTACTATGACTTGGTATTCCCGAGTCATGTTCTCTACCACATGCACCGTTAGCTCACCCTCTTTCCCTGTCCACCGATCAAGCCCAATTGTCGCCTCACCCTCTACACTACAGGGACCACCCAGAGTGATCAGCTGGCAGTCACATTTCTGTATCCGGAGTACCCTCTCGCTCCCGCACCCTTTTCCTAACGCCCTTCGAGTCATAATAGTGCTCGAGCTACCCGTGTCCACAAGACACTTTACTCCCCCGTCTACTTCGATAATTGGCAACCAGCATGGCTTACCTCGGATGTTGTTGCATATTGCTGTGCGGTCGCCTCTCTGCCGACACACTCCTCAGATGTCGTCCCGCTTCCTCCTTTCTGCCGCCGCTCGTCGCTGCTCACTCCGTTGGCTGCGCCTACCTCCTTCACCTCCGCTGCTGCCTGGTTCGTCCGTCTCCGTTCCCGACGCTCCTGACTCCTCGGTTGCCTCCTCCGAAGATCCGTCCCGCTGATGTACCCTGGCTCGTCTCTTCATCCTCTGCACATTCACCTCCATGGGTTCGTCCTGAGGTCTCTCCCTCCTGTGAAATATGTATGGGCACTGCCTTGCTATGTGCCCTTCCGTCCCGCACTCGAAGCATCTGGTGCGCGGACATTGCGCTACTAAATGTCCCGGCTTCCCACACCCGTGACATTTTCTCTCTTCCCTCCGGGGCCCATTCCTCGGCCTCGACGACTGTCCCGATCTTCTTTCCCTCGTCGGGGCTTTTTCTCCACTCGGCTGCCTGGTGTCCCTCTTCTTCCAACCTGTCGGGGCTGTCCATGGTCGTCTATCCGTCACCCGGGTCCAACCCGGTTCTTCCACATCCATCCGTGTCTCCTCCTCTCTGGCACTTAGGTCGATCATCTCCTGGGCGCATTCGAGGAACGATCGCTCTCTGGGCAGTCCGTCCCTCTTCCCCGTTTCTTTAGCCAGCTGGACTTTCAATATTGTCGACAGAAACTCCATCCTGGCTTCGACCTCTCCCACGCTCATTGTTTCCCGCATCTTCTCGGTTATGCGATTGTACTTCGCCACGAGTACTCCCGCATATTGCCCCCTTGACTGTCGTTGGGCCCGCCGCTCCCTAAACATTTGGAATATGTCCTCTTCCGGTGTCCACCTACCTCCTCCAAAAGCCTTCTTCAGCCGCTCCTTAATCACCGGCCACGGAGTCTCCTCGTCCGCTTGGATCTGGTTCAGGACGTTCCTCCTTACTCGGCACACAAGAGCTGCTTTTAGTTCTTCAGCGTCCCCTAGGTTCACCAGGTCCTCCGCCACCTTCACCTCGATTCTTGACATAAGACGATCTCCGCCTTTCAAGAAATGGTTGAGCTCGCCTACCTCGCCTCCGAATCGTTCCAGGTCCGCAATGGCCCTCCGTAAGTCCTGCGTGGTTGTTGCTCTTATTTTCATCCATTCCAAGGCATTGGCGTGTGCTTCTGCCAACGTGTCCCTTGGTAATGGAGGGATCTCCTGGATCTGAGGGATCTGTGCTACCTGAGGGACTTGAGGTATCTGAGGTACCTGAGGCGCGATCTGGGGTACCTGATTGATCTGTGGAATATCCTGAGGTTGAGGAATTTCCGGTACGCTTAGTACTCCCGGTCTAATCAATCCTTCTGTCGGCATTTCACCTTTTCCTTAAACACCAAAAAAAAAAATATCTACTTAAAAAAAAATTACTTCCCTGACGTTGTCCCGGGTTTCGGCACCAGTTAAGCGTCGTCGGACTTAGAAAACAAAAAAAAAGAAGGAAAAGGGAAAAGATGTAACATACACGACTTCTGAAATAACACTGCTTTATTCGTTCCATAAGCCTCCTTATATACACTTAGCCTGTTTATTTACATTACCAGATAGTATTAAGGCTGATACCGCCAGTCTCCGGTCTTTATCTTATATATATATATATATATATATATATATATATATATATATATATATATATATATATATATATATGTAGTCTATATATATTTTTTCATGATCCAAAACTGGAAATTATAGATAACATGCAACCATCGAATCAGTGGAACTAATTACATCCATTAATTGCTTTTCTGATAATTAGGAAGTAAAGCCTAACAGAATGCTATCCGAATTTCATTTGATAATTGAAATAACTGCTAAATTTATCGTCAAATAACAAAAGTTACCAATGGGTTGACGTAAATATAATAAGATTCATGGAAAATATTTATAAAAAAATATTTATTATTGAATTATAATACAATCTACCATAATCAAATGCAATGCATATTATGTTAATTGTTAATTGAAACTATTTATGAACCTATTATATAATGTTAATATAACGCTATTTAAAAGAAATAAATATAAATATCTAAACAAATAAGTTTGCTAAAAATATTAATTATAACATAAAAATAAATAAATTTATTTATTTTATATATATATATATATATATATATATATTTTTTTTTTTTTTTTTTAATGGTCTCAAAGATAACAATCTGTCTCTTGGAAATTGGTTATAGTGAGGTATGATAACAATCACACTATATGTACAAAAATATAAAATAAATACATTCATGTCTTGGTGCAATATTTACATGAACTCCAACCAAATTTTCCCTCATTCAAATCTTTTCAGGTAACCAAAATGTCTTTCATTGTAAAGTATAATTAGATCCGAAAATATATTATTTCGTTGGTTTCTTGAGAGTGATTTTATTAGACAAAGTTTTGAGATAGAACTAAATATTTGATAAAAAAATAAAGTATGTTTACTTATAGTGGAAGATTTAAAATTTAGAATTTATATGAAAAACTATGAATAGGTTTGCAAAGAGGAACGAGTGAGTCGTATAATAGATAGATGCAATGGTGTATACATAATCCTTCTTTTTTTTATTAAAAAAACTTTTTGGCATAATCAATATTAATTAATGTTTTCTATGCCTCTATTATTTTTATAACATTATAATAGAGGCAGTGTAGAAATTCAATGGAAGTCTTGGGCGGAAGAGGAAAAAATATATATTTATGACTAAACATGTTTTTAAAACATAAGTGTTTATACCATTCCATGTCTTGAATCATAAATTATGTTTTGAGTTTCATAATTTTATTATAATATTGTTACTGCCGCACCCAATATCTACAACAACATATCTTTACACTGTTAAAAGGACTTACAAACCTTCATGGACGAGAGTAAAGAAGGTGTGATCTTCATGTCATTAGGATCTCACATAGACGCTAAATATCTAAAAGAACAAATGAATGCATTCCTGGAAGTATTCAAGGAGTTGCCTCAAAGAGTTCTTATGAAGTATGAGCCTGAAGATGAAAGCCAGGTCCCACCAAATGTGAAATTATCTAAGTGGTTTCCTCAGCAAGATATCTTAGGTAAGATTTCTCAAACTCTAAATATTTAAAGTAAGTCGGATAAGGAAAGATATCATTATATAAATAAGCAAACACAAAACGGTTCAGTCCTCTTTTCTTCTCTTTTATTCAACCGATTTTCTTCCTTCTTTTTTAGTTTAATAGCTATTGACTAGGTTTAGTGTTAACAATAAATAAAAAATATGAAATATTTTGTAAATAAATATGTAAACGGCAGTTTCCGAAAGTTCTTAACCGATTTCTTTGAAATTTTGACACAACGTCGTAATAATATTTAAAAGTTTTTTTTTTTTTTAATAAATTTCGTTATGATCAGATCTATTCTTTCGAAATGGCGGCGGAAAAACGTGATTTGCTTTAGACTGTTGCGCCAGTTTTAACGATTTTAATGAAACTTGGCTAAAATCTTCCGCTTTTAACATTTATAATTTATGTATACAACATACTTTCCCGTAAACAAAGCTTCATACATTTTTATGATGAATTCAGTATTTTATTTCCGAATAACTCAAAAATTACAAATTGTTTTGATAATACCGATGTGTATTTGAATGCTTTCTGAATTCCCCACAAAATAAAAAAAAAATCATCGAAATCAGACTATTTTTTGCAGAGGTATATCGTTTCAAACATTTTTTTTTTTTTTTTTATATTTGTTTATTTAGAAATATTACATTCTGTCACATCAAGGACATTTATAATATTGTTCAGAGAAAGCACACTCACACTCTATTTACAATAAAAAAAAAAAATAATACAGAAACTTAATAATAATAAATACAATAAAATAAAATAAAAATAAATACAATAAAATAAAATAAATGTATATAAACAAAAGAACTAACCTAATCATACACACTCGGGCTTGAGTGGAGGATCTGGCCATTGCCAAAACTCCAATAGATGCTTATTTACAAAAGGTCTCTGGGCCACTGCCGCTTCAACCTTCGAGGAGGATTGTAAGGATGGGTGGTGCTGGATAGAGATTGTGCAAGGGGATTTGGATGATAGGTAAGGTTCTGGTGAAATTTGGAGAATTTTTCTGGAATAAGGTCTAGGACAAATGGGATATTAAGGTCATGGTGTAGGATTTTGTTATTTACATAGAACGGAGCATCAACTATTGTTCGAAGGACTTTAGATTGAAAGGATTGAATACGTTTGATGTTAGAAGCTTTTGCTGTCCCCCACAGTTCAAGTCCGTATGTCCATATAGGTTTCAGTATTGTCTTGTAGATAAGTAATTTGTTTTCAATAGAAAGTTTGGATTTTCTGTTTAGTAGTCTGTATAGCTGGCCGTATCGTCGGTTGAGTTCTTGTCTTTTGAGTCTAGTATGTGGGTTCCACGTTAGTCTTCGGTCTAAATGAAAGCCAAGATACCGGACTGTGTCTGAGTAAGGAAGCTGGATGGAATTAAAGTGTACTGGTGGACAGGAACTGCGTCGGAGTGTAAAGGTAATATGTTGGCATTTAGATTCATTAACTTTAATGCGCCAGTTATTACACCAGTGCTCAATCAAGGTGAGGTGGTTTTGGAGATTTAAGGATGCTATGTTGGGATCTGAGTCGGATGATAGAATGGCGGTGTCATCAGCAAAAGTTGCCAGGAAGGTATCGGGATGGACAGGGATATCGGCGGTAAAGAGGATGTAAAGGACGGGACCCAATACGCTACCTTGAGGAACACCTGCCTCAATTGGATAGCAATGCGAAAATTCAGTACCGCAACGAACTCGGAAGGTACGATCTGAGAGGTAGGAACGGAGAACAAGGTACAAGGACTGAGGAAGATAGTTTTTCAGCTTGGAAAGAAGCCCGGCGTGCCATACCCGGTCGAAAGCTTGAGCTATGTCCAGAAATGCACCCGAGCAATATTGCTTGCTTTCCAATGCTGCGGAAATATGATCAACCACTCGGAGTCCTTGTTGGACTGTAGAGTGTTGTGAACGAAATCCGAACTGATGGGAAGGAAGAGTTTGGGATTCTATAAAGGGTAGGATGCGTTTCAGGAGGATCTTTTCAAAGATTTTTGAGAGAATCGGAAGAAGGCTAATTGGTCTGTAGGACGTTGAGGTGTTGGGAGGTTTGCCTGGTTTCGGAAACAGGATAATAGTGGAATGTTTCCACAAAAGAGGAAAGTGGGTGGTTCGTAGGATGCTATTGTATATGTATGTAAGGAATATGACAGCTTTAGGAGGGAGTTGTCTAAGGATCTGAGAGGTAAGGAGGTCGTATCCAGGTGATTTACGGGTAGGTAGTTTTTGTAAGAGGAATTTGACCTCAGAAGGATTAACTGCTTTAGGCGGTAAGGAGAGTGGGATGGGTGAATTAAGGAATTCCTCAACTGCTGACGTGTGGGTGGGATTGGATTCTGGATGAGAGGTGAATGTAAGGGAAAGGTGTTTGGCGAATTCTTCGGCTCTATCTTCGTCAGATGCTGCCCAAGAGCCATCACCTCAACGGAGAGGATGTGATATATGATGGGGTTTTAGGGTATGTTTGGTGGTCTTCCATAGGGAATTGTCATGAGAAGAGGGGGAAGTGAGGTAGGAGTTGAAGGATTGGGATCTGAAGGTGGCCAATTCTATCTGTAGTTTTTTGCAAAAATAATTATAGGATTGCGATCGGTGGGGTGTCTAATAAGTTGCCATAATAATCTGGCACGGCGTTTGGTATGGATTAGGTCTATGAGGTGTTGAGGTAACTTATTTTTCTTAGGAGTTCTTCAGGAGTGGTTTGGAGAGGAAGCAGTCCAGATTGCTTGTTGGATAGTGGTGGTAAAAAAGTGTACGGTATTGTCAAGGTCATCTGGGGTTTTCAGGGTCATTCTGAGGTCAATTTTATCGGTAAGGATTTGGTGAAAGAGTTTCCAGTTAACTGGGCCTCTGATGAAGGACGGTGGAGAAGACTTAGGAATAGGAGCTAGAGATAATTTGAGTAATAATGGACTATGATCTGAGGATAGTTCGGCAAGAGGGGTAAGGGAATGGTTGAGGGGACCTAAGCCACTGTGGATGAAAAAATCAAGGATATTGGGATTGCGGTTAGGATCTGTGGGCCAGTAGATAGGTGAGTTGGGTGGAAGGAGACTGAAACGTTGGGTATTGAGTGCAGACAGAAATGTTCTGCCACGAGAATTCGTGGTTCTTGAACCCCAATTTTGATGCTTGGCATTTAAGTCTGCACCCAGGATGAAATGATGACCTAAGGAGTTGAGGAGAGAACTGAACTGGACTTTGGATATGGATCTGTTAGGAGGGCAATATGCTGATGCAAGGGTGACTGGAAAGGAGAAGGCTTTGATTACAATAGCGGTTGACTGTAGGAAATCTTGAGTAGGTAATGGGAGTAAGTGATGGGAGAGGGATTGGTGTACGATGACAGCAGTGCCGGCATGTGCTCTGCCATCAGGGTGGTCAGTACGGTATGTTAAATACTGTGAGATTTTTAAATGCTGTTTTATGGTCAGTCGAGTTTCTGTAATTAGGGCTACGTCAATGTTCTTGTCTTGTAGTAAAGCTGTTAGTTCGTCAACGTGATTTCTAACACCATTCGCATTCCAAAGGAGAATGGACATGGGTTTTGGGATGTGGGTCATTAAGGATTTTTCAAAGGAGGGATGAAGTGAGATACGAGATTTGTAAGGAGTGATATGAGTGTTTCAAACATTAAGTACTTTTTCTTTTGCAAAGTCGATTTCCTCTATTTTGGTTATTGATAAATTGGAAACTTTAAATTTAATGAAATGATCGAGACTATTATTAAAAGAGATGAAATAACGGATCGCTGCCTCATAAATTAAATTTAAAAAAATAAATTTTACATTTATTCTCGTTCTTAACTTAGTAGTTAATGGAACACGAATGGGAGTGAAGTACTGACGGGAGCCACTTTAAATAAAAGAATTTTTATTCCAAGAATTAATTTAATATTTTTTAACACACTAGTTCCATTCGAATTTCAATTCGAATTCGAATTTCAAGGAACAACGTTGTTATTAAAAGTTTTGGAATTTTTTTTTATCATCTCGTGGACAATTATATATCGCAGCAAGTAGAGGAAATTAAAATTAAAATTTTGAAATTTATATGAGTATCCAATGGCAATGGTCACGGAAGTCTATGCACTAAACAACAGCAGGACATTAAAAAAGAACATTGTTTTCAGAGAAATTCTGCATAAAAATGGATTTAAACTCAGTTAAAATTGCTAATTTAAATGTATTTTTTACTAGCTTAATCATAACATTGATTTATTGTGATAATAACTCATAAATTAAAATGGAAATTAAATATTTTTAATAAGTCTGATTTTTATTACTTATAAATAATTTTAAGTAGTTTAAGCTCGATTTTTAATTGAAATTTCGTTTATATTAATAAATAAGGATTTTTGAATCGTGATTTACTGTTTATTAATTAATTTTGTTTTTATTTTAATTATGTTTATTCAAATTTTTAATAGCTATGGTCGAATTTCGACTACTGGGCGAACACTAATATATATATATATTGAATTATACCTTTTTTTTTTTCCTTCAATAAAATTTCCAATATGTATTATCATTTTTTGAATAAGCAAAATTGTTGTAACAAAAGTCGAAATTGACACTTCGTACCAACATAAGTGAGACATTAGTTAAACGTTCTAATATTAGTTTAAGCATAGTGAATAACTCATGAATGGAGAATAAAAACGTAAAAATTAAAATTTTTGGTTAAAGTGAATTGAAATAAGAACTGAATGACTACCAAAAAATCAAGAACATTATGGTCCAGCATCATCAGGAACGGGGTGGCCGAGCGGGCTATTCGGAGGCAACCCGAATATAACATTGCGTGATAAAATAATACCGAGTTCGTATATCGGTGCCAAGGGGAGCTGTTAACTCCGGCATTAATCCCCGCCCTCACCCCTGGGTCTTGGAAACCTAGTCTAAAACGTGAGGAAGGGGAGGACAAAAAATAAAGAAAAAAGATCCAGTATTATCATTGCATTCATGATCATTTTACAAAATATAATATCTTATGTTATTTTTTATTCAGAAGAGAAATAGTCAATAAAATGATTCTTTCCCGGTCAGACTTGAATAATGAGTGGGATAGTGTAGAATAGCACTACACTATTAGCTATGTAAACGTGGTGATGGACAAATCCAAGAAAATGTCTTTTTTGGTTAATGCCTGCGTAATGGTTATAGTTATAAACTTCTCCGTTGGTTATTTCAAATTTCTAGGGTCTCCTTTTGTTATTTAGCACTTTAAAATTGAAAAAAAATATGCAGTTATGAAGATGTAACTCCATTTTAAAAAAAGACCTTTTTGCACCAGTGGTGGAACTTCAATTGTTCTAGTAACGGACAGGGCTCGGTAAAGGTAAAGAATATAGCCCAGAAAAAATCAAAATTATTATTTAATTATAAACATAACGAAAAAGATAACATACCATATAATCCCAACTTACTCTTAGCAAAACTGTTAATAGGAAGGTATGAAACACATCTCAAGAGGACAACAGAAACAACAATAATAGACATTTTAATATTTTCTTTTGGAAACTTTGTTCTTAGAGTTATCAATAGAGGGCATTGTTCTTCAATCAAGACAAAATTGGAATTTTTAAATCAGCGAAAAAGCTTATTATTTACATTTAAAGTCCAACCTGTCCATCACTGGGCCCCCTGTCCATAACCAGTGCGTTCACCCTAATAGAAGGTTGTGTTATGTATTTTTTTTTTTCATCTAGTTTCTGAATATTTTTTATTGCAAGTAGTGGTACTATTAATGTGAGATCGGGTACAAGTTGCGCTGCTTCCACTTTAACTAATGAGTAGCCCAAAGGTTCAGTCCACGTGTTACAAACCCTAGTTACGGTATTTACCAGATGCAAAAAACCGAACGGCTCTGCTCGGCTATCGGTTTCCGATGGAGGCAGTAGATCAGGCCACAGCTGTTAACTGATTTAGAATTATCAAACTAACCTTTACCCTTATCCTTGGATAGTGTTTAGTTTCGTCATTATCAATAGACGCGATTCGCTGATATTGAAGATTTGTGATTTGTTAAAAAGGAAACAAACTACATTTTTATTATCATTATTTCATCATGATGGCATATGGTCGCGGTGTAATTTCAAGGAATTTCGAGTATACACAAGAATTAACAAGGTGATCACGGCATAACTTCTCTTTTTATAAATTGGGATGTTAATTACATCGCTGAATTTGAAAAATAATAAACTAACCTCAAACGGATCCTTTTAGTTGAAGATGGGTGACCACACCAGACGGTTCGATTACTTCCGCGTACTTTCGGACATACTTGGTCATTCTAAAGATTCCATTTATGGTGTGACCAGGAGACCTTCTGCCATCTATGAATGTTTGACGTTTAAGACATTTTTACAGTAGTACCATATTTTGAAACACAGTTAAATCTTCGGGATCGACTTTTAGGTGCTTCTAAACGGAAAAAAGTATACAAAACACATACTCAATTCTAAATTGTATTAACCCAACGGTCTTTCAATGTTATTATTCCATCGCGAAATCAATACTTTTTTTTTTTGTAATTTTTCATTTAATCCTATTTTGTAGCATCTCTTACTCGAAATATTCATTTTTAACCTATTCACAGAGTTCTATAATAGACTGCATTAACTTTTCATATAAGTACCATAAATTTAATTAAACAGCTGTGACTTCTCAAAAGTCCTACTTCGCCCATTAGTTCTACGCCTAGAAGCATGCATTTCCTGGCATGCACAACCTTATCGATATATATATTTAGTTACTGTTGTTTATATTTTATCTTATTTCTTGGCATGTTAATCCAGAATTATCTTTATATATTATTTATGCTCCTTGAAAATTTAAAGGTTTTTGAATTCTCTACAGAAAGGGACAGCAAACATTTAAATCATACTTGTATTTATATAGATCACAGTCCTAAATCGGTTATATTATTATATTATATAACGATTAGTTATATTCCTCAGAAGGAGAAGAAACCGTCTTTGGTGAGTTCATTGTCACGACCTTTCCATCGCTTTTTGTCAAAAATGTTTTGTGATCGCTAACATTGTTCGGATAATTTTTGTTATTCTTTTAATTTTGGTTTATATTCATTAAAAGAGTTCGGTTAGACAATTTATGCTTCCTTGTAATTTACAACTGACTTTTCCTGGTAAAGTGTAATTTTTTATTTTATGAAAAACTAATATAAATTTAAGATGTTTCTATGGTAACTAAGACGGTATTGATATATTCTATATATTGAACTTTTACCTATAGGAATGTTTACGATCTTATAAATTGGCTAAAAGGGGCTAGTATACCGCATAATAGCAGGCGTATTTGGTTGTGCGGTATCTCTTGAAATAATGTTTTTCTCTAATTATATTTCAAAATTCTTTTTTGTTCAATGGACATTTATTCCTTAATATTTCATTAAATCCAATAATTGACACATACTTTTGAAGATCTTCTTCATTGCCGAATTATAATCATGTCACTTAGAACAACCAGGAGAAAAAGTTGAGAAGAAAAAAAATTGAAGATTACTTAAACAATAGACTACAATCGGTTGATTTCATGCATTATAATTTTTATTGTATTTGAATTATTTTGAAAATTAAAAAAAAAAATACTATCGAAATCACCATTTGTTCTAACCGTATACTATTTTTAGATTATGTTCAATAGTGAACACAACACAAATCGAGAAAAAAATGATCTCTCTCTCTCTCTCTCTCTCTCTCTCTCTCTCTCTCTCTCTCTCTCTCTCGCTCGCTTTCTATCTCTCAGAAACAATATTGTACTTAATTTAATTTATTTTTTTTTATATATGTGCCCCGAAGGTAAAGAATATCATGTCAAGTTTTTGTTAAATAATTTAGAAACTATGAAACAAATTTTAATAGCTCAAAATTATTGATAATTCCTTTAACTGATACTGATACCCGGAGTACAGACCTGGTAGCTAAGAGAAAGTATAATAGCTCAAAGTTACGGAACATTGTCTCCCCTAAACAAATACAAAAATGGACATGGTGTTCTTCATCTTCGGAGTTTTTATATATAAATAATGGTAATGCAAGAACAATAATCCTTTTATGACTAACATTCTTCGGATGAATAAGGGAGTTTTACCAATGGCCTAAGAGGTCCAGAGTTTAAGAATGATCGATTCAAAGCAATGTGAAGGTAAATCGATTTAACTAGTTATGACCAGAGACCACATATTTTATATCTAAACAATGTATTTTTATATGTATTTTACAGCTCATAAGAATTGTATTCTGTTCATAACACACGGAGGACTGCTTAGTTTAGCTGAGGCCACTTATCACGGGCTACCTCTAGTTGGCATCCCTATCTTAGCAGACCAAGCGAAGAATTTAGCGTTCGTTGAATCACAAGGATTCGGAAGAATGTTAGGACTAAATAACGTGACAAAAGAGACAGTGTCCTGGACAGTTCAGGAAGTTCTCAGTAACAGCAGGTACTATATAAACACCTATTATAGCAATAACGATATAGTAACTACTGTTAATATATCCTCATAATTTACTTATATATTTTACTGACATAGGTATAGAGAAGAAGCACTTCGAAGATCGAAGATTTTCAAAGATAGGAGACAGACTCCTGCAGAAGAAGCGGTTTACTGGGTCGAACACTCGCTGAAGTATCCATTCGCACTAACTCCAGAGTCAACAAAGTTCAGTGCAGTAGTGCTTCACATGTTATATATTAAGCTTTTTATTACATTAGTATTTTTCTTAGCAATTTACATCCTTTACTCAGTTATCAAGGTGGTAAAAACACTTACTTGTAAGACCAAAAGAAAAAAATAAACTAAAGATTCATGAGTTAGGGATATATGAATAATATTTATTACATACTTCTGGTTTTATTTTTTCATCCTTGTTCTACCAATACTCAGTTCATGAATCATTTATAAAAGTCACAGGCGGAATGGAATAGATGATGCAATGTTGTTGCCCAAGATAAATATATCTATTAACAATATGTCGAAATGGAGAACAAATTTAGTCAAGATTACATTAATATTTGATCAACTTGAATCAACTCATGTGAACTGATGAGATCATTGTTTGAATAGGCATAGTATTGTATAATTCAGTGTAACACCTACCAATTGAATTTAGACTAGTTTTATTTAATAAAGTATTCCTCGAAATCAGTTTGATCGTGTTTGGAGATATGGAAAGGTAATATTTAGACAGATAAATGTTTTATCTCCTTTTTTTTAAAGACAACATAAACATTGATAAATTGGTTTCTTCCATCAGCACATTTTAGATTTCGTTTATCAAGTTTTTTTTAAAACTATTTAAGGAGAAATTTCATTTTTGACTTTGATATTTACCTGTTAATTTATTATAATTAGAAACAGATTATTTCCATAAAATAAAATGCACAGAAATGTACTTAACCTTCTAAGTTCTGTACTTAATGCATGTACTTAACATGCACCGGTTCAATGGACGAAATGTGCATCACAAGAGCCGTAAATGGCATGAGACGGCACCTGATTACTATACCTATATTTAATATTCATAGATTGGAGCGCGGAATGTATTGCACGGGAGTCATTCTCGACGTTGAACAAGCGTTTGATAGAGTTTGGCACCCGAAACTGCTGTACAAACTCCGAAAATTACTACATCCTATTTATTTATTTCCATCCTCCCATGCCACAATGTCAATACGGATGTTTGCAATAATGTGTTTTAGGCATGAATACTTAATAACACACTACTTCTAGATATGCACATATATAGTTCTTCTGTTTTATCTTCTTCCTTATTCTTTCGGCCTAGCTTTCAGAATCTGGTCTTCCAGGTCTTCCTGGCGCTTGTCCTCTTCTTCTGCGAGCACCAATATGGAAGTGAGCAGGCCCCACTGCAGTCTAACATCCATTTATGAAATCCTTAAACCGCGGGAAATTTTCCTCACTGACTAACTGAGGAAACTCATTTTCAGTGAGGACATAGATTCCCGCGGCTCTTGGCATTGTCGTTCTTAGTGTTTCAAACGCGGTGCAGGTCGTGACCACATGCTCTACAATTTCCGGAACACTACAGATTGTGCATAGAGGATCTACATCAATGCCCAGACCGTGAAGGTTGTAACCCAGCGCCGGTTCCATGCTTCAATTGTATCCTCCCGGAGTATCTTCTTCCACCTATTAGGCGCTTCCATAATCCTCACCTGTAGATTGTCCGAAAGTATTGTAGAGCCTGCTATCTTGTATGAATATTTCGTCACTTCTTCTAGTAGGAGGAGGTCGAGAGGCACCACCCCCGCAAGAGCCTGCACCACTTCATGCGAAGTTGTCCTATATGCTCTGGTGACCCGAAGCAGAGCTGTCCTCTGAGTCGAGCCTAGCCTTTTTTTTTTTGTCGTAGTGTGAGGTTACGGAACCAGAAGGGAGACGCATACCTCAGGATACCCTCCACAACTCCTTTATATATCGTGATTGTGGCTGGATACCTAAGGCCCCAGAATGCGCCTCCCACGCGAGTTAGACCGTTCATTGCTAGGGCCACCCTACCTACCATATATTCCAAGTGAGGTGTCACATTTAGGCCTAAACCTAACCTAACTCCTAGGTAGGTTACCACCTCACTTGGAAGTATCCTTTGGCCTTCCATATTCATTGTTATAGGGTGTGCCCTGTCAGTCTTGCCCTTGAGGAGAATGGCTTGAGTCTTGGAAGCAGCCATCCTCATCTTCTTCCCCTCACACCACCTCGCGACCAGGCCAGCGCATCGCTCTGCTTCTGTCTTGACTCCAGGTCTGCTGTTTGAGGCCACCACAGCAGCTAGGTCATCAACATAGGCAGTAGCAGGGAACCGCTCTTCCTCTAACACTCCCAGCAATTCATCGAAGACAAGCTTCCACAGAGCAGGGCCAAGGACTGATCCCAGAGGGCATCTCCTCTCTATGGAAGCTTCTACCTCATAGTGATTCCCTCTGATCTTGACACGCCTGTCATGGAGGTAGCTTCTTACAAGTGAGTATAAATTGCTGGGAGCATCGTATTTCTGCAGCTGCTGGAGCACGCTAGGCCACCATACACTGTCGAAGGCGGAAGATATATCAAAAAGCAATAGCATAACATAACGTTCCGCCCTCTCTTCAACATACTTGGCGCACTCTCAGCAGAGCATCAGCGGTCCCTCTGCCTCTAGTTGAACCATATTGCCGTGGATGGCTAGCTCTGTCGAAAACAGGGCGTAAGCTAGACATCATGAGGTTCTCCAGGACCTTGCTCATCACAGGGAGGAGGCATATAGGTCTATATGAGTTAGGGAGTTGCTTATCTCTATCTTCTCCCTTGTAGAGGAGTCTCAAATCAGCAATCTTCCAACTTCGTGGGAAGTATCCCGTATCTAGACACTGATTGACAAATCTTAAAATATGATCTTCAATATACGGAATACTGTTCTTTAAGATTGCCGCGTCTATTGCATCAAGACCTGGAGAACGATTCATTTTCTGCCTATCCACGGCAATACGAAGATCGTGAATGTCCCATGGTGGGCATAAATCTGACCCGGTTGGATACACCGTGGTACGCCTCACAAAAGCGTCATTTTCGCTGTCCTGGGCTGAATCATCCCTGGGGTATATTGCTTCAATGAAAATACTGGCTGTCTCTTCCAGGGTGGTTGCCTGAGTATCTTGATATTTCAAAGCTGCAATAGTCTGCAGCGGGGTCAGCTTACCCAATGCCACCCTGTACGGAATACCCCAGGGATTCTTTGAGGACTTTTGGACGATGAAATATCAAGATACTCAGGCAACCACCCTGGAAGAGACAGCCAGTATTTTCATTGAAGCAATATACCCCAGGGATGATTCAGCCCAGGACAGCGAAAATGACGCTTTTGTGAGGCGTACCACGGTGTATCCAACCGGGTCAGATTTATGTCCACCATGGGACATTCACGATCTTCGTATTGCCGTGGATAGGCAGAAAATGAATCGTTCTCCAGGTCTTGATGCAATAGACGCGGCAATCTTAAGGAACAGTATTCCGTATATTGAAGATCATATTTTAAGATTTGTCAATCAGTGTCTAGATACGGGATACTTCCCACGAAGTTGGAAGATTGCTGATTTGAGACTCCTCTACAAGGGAGGAGATAGAGATAAGCAACTCCCTAACTCATATAGACCTATATGCCTCCTCCCTGTGATGAGCAAGGTCCTGGAGAACCTCATGATGTCTAGCTTACGCCCTGTTTTCAAATCTGACTGAATTTCAGATCTTGATATTTCAAAGCTGCAATAGTCTGCAGTGGGGTCAGCTTACCCAATGCCACCCTGTACGGAATACCCCAGGGATTCTTCGAGGACTCTTGGACGATGAAATCGTCCCAGGACTTCCGTTTTTGTGAGCGAACCTCGTTTCGGTATATCCTGGATTTAGATTTATACTCATTCCGAAGTGCAATGCGCCTCTCGTCACATCTGCACCTCTGATATGACCGCCGGGCCTTGTAGAGGTCTCTCTTTAGAACAGATAAGGCTGGCGTCCACCATGGGACCGGTCGAGCTCTCGCTTTCCGGTGCTTCAGGGAATTTTCGGCAGCGTCTCGAATGATATTGGTGATCCTAGATACCTTGTAATCCAGGCCATTAGCTACGTCCATCTCCATCACATCCCATTCTTCATCTACAATTAATCCTTCCAGACAGCACCTGAAGACACTCCAGTCATTTATTTTCGTAACAAAACCTTTATCAATACCGTGGGAACATCCTGGCTTATCTACCAGGTCGATTGCTATCGCAATGTGGTCGGAACTCGTTTCAGACCTGAGAGTCCAATCTGTGATGTACCTCGTGAGCACAGGCGTGACGATCGTGACATCAATCCTACTCTGCCCCATGACTCCAGAAAAGGTAGGGGTAGCAGAGGGTTCATTCATCACGACTTGCTATGAAATCTCCCATTTTCGCGCCTCGCCTATCAGTAATATTGGATCCCCAGACCGTGTTCCAGGAGTTGGAATCTGAGCAAACGATAACATTACTCATCTCTCTAATGATCGTTTCCATAGCGGATATGCTTTCATCAATATCATCACTGGCATGCAGGTATGCCGACACAAGTGTGAAGGTAATCTTACCCCATCAACATAGCATGATGCATAATCCGCCATGGTATGCTGTCTCAGATCCATCACGTCGAGGTTAGGATTATTGATCACTATTGCAGCCCTGGGCCTCCTCTCTCCACTGCTCAGGGCTATAATCCTCGACGTTAGGCCAAACCCTGTGACCTTGTTCCCACGGCAGGTCGGTTCCTGAACCGCCATAATGGCATAGCGTTTAGAAAGAGCGCGAAGCTCATCAGCCACAACGCGTCGGCGGCCCATGTTTAGCTGGAGGATAGTGATTTTAGTCATAAAACGTTCTTCTCACCACCTCTTGAGACTTCTTTATATGCACCGGGCAGTTCCGACTTCCTGCCTGATGCTAATGGGGATACCTTCCCTCACGCAGTTTACGCAGATCGGGGCCTTTTTATTTATTTTTCCTGGACAATCCTTAGCTATGTGGCCAGATGCAGAGCACCACTTGCAAATGATACCATTAGCCTCGCATGTGGCCTTAGTATGCCCGTATCCTTGGCATCGAAGGCATGGAGAAGCATCAGGGTAATCAGTGAATTTCAATACCCACCAACCCCCAGCTATTATTTCCTCCTTCAGAAGGTTATACCTAACCACTGGGTTCACTTCAATCACCCAATTATTTGTGATCTGATTTTTGGCCATTGTGGAAACCAGTGGCTTTATATGGCCCGATTTATTCTCCGGTGTAGGGACTACTTTCGCAGCTAACTTCTCCCATATTACTCTTTCTAGGTTTCAGCTGTCCATGATTGTGGAACCCCTTTAACTTCCAACTTCGGTTTCCTCTTCAGAGATAG